CTAATATTTTTTATAATTAATATTAATGAATAATAATTAATAGTATTAACGAGGGTTATAATTGAAAAATGTTAAAATATCTCTTCATAAACTACTTCAAGTAGCATTTCAATAAGTTAACTTATAAGTTAATTTTGTCTGTCCAAACGTGTATCCAGAAAATAAGTTAACTTATAAGCCAACTCATGTTTGTTAAACAATGCCGAAATCCAAATGACCATCTTCCACGTCAGTGTGAACATTTATTTTGAGACGAAAAGATAATATATAATTGAGTAAAGCCTAAATTCTGAACTGTTGGGGGCCATATACCACATCTCAAATTGAGAGGCTGTTTGGTTGGTTTTCCATTAAGTCTTGTATAGATAAAATTGATATCTTAATTAATCTGTCTTTACAAGTTATGAAGGCTTTGTTTGTGAGGTTTTTTCGTATACGGAAAGAATATGTTTTTTAATTTCAACATACTTTCAATATCATTAAGCTACTACTGAACAATCATGTATAGTTGACAAAATAGGTTGCAACTCTCATAAAACTCGTGAAGTTGCTAACAAACATGGATAAAACCCTGAAACACCTTTCGACACGATCCTAATGTATATAAAAGAAATATACACACCAACGCCGTTTTTCGAAGGGAAAAGTTAAAAAAAAAAACTTAACAAACTATCTAATTTTGAATGATTAAGTTACTGAACTATTTTATTGAATGAAAAAACCAATAAACTTTCTCATCTTGAATGATAAAGTCCTTGATTTTTTTTAATGATTAAGTCCCTGAATTTTTTTTTTACTATATAAATTAAACCATCAAACTTTTAAAAATTGGTTACATACATTTCTTTTAACACAAAAAAAGCCACCCGTAACCGGTTACCTTTTGATTTTCCACCTTTTGATAGATAAAAAATAAATCAAAAAGAGAGAGATCAATAGCAGGGCCCAAAAGCATGTTAGACGATACAAAGAACAAACACCGTTAGGGCAAGGGGAGTGACGAGGGGAAGCAATACCGTTGTTTGCAAGGGATTTTAATGTCGTATGGTTTGACCACGATAAAACTGATTTTCGTTTATTTTAACTTTAAAACATTCATAGTCAGTTACAAGTATTTTTTTTAGTTAAAAGATGGTAACCAATTTTTAGACTTTTGATGGTTTATTTATTTAAAAAAAAACATTTAGAAACTTAATCATTAAAAATAAAAAAGTTTAATTATTTTTTTTATTAAAAAAAAAAATAGTTCAATGACTTAATCATTTAAAACGAGAAAAATTAATGGTTTTTTTTCCTTTAAAAAATAATTCAAATACCTAATCATTCAAAATAAGACTAGTTGTGTACATGCGCAATGCGGCGGGAGCCGTGAATTAATGATTTTAAAGTTTAACTAGTTTAATTAGAGAAAATTTAATGATGATATAAATTACATTTGGTTTTTACATATTAATACAATTTGAATAATAAGAATTATGGTTCAAATTACAGTCTATCGATAAAAAAATTGTATGACAAATTTAAATCCAATATATTTAAAATCCAACATATTTAAACGACTCCACAATTGTGTTCGTGTACACCAAGAGCAAAGAATCAAGAGATCGAGAGTTCTAGAACAATTGAATGAGAAATGAATGAAATAACTTTTAATAATTCATAGTGAATATCAGTTTGAATCTCACTTTGGGGGATGAGGTGAAGAGATAGATGTTTGAGAGGTGAAGACATGAGTGAAAGATGTCAAAAGTATCTTGGGAACATGAAAAGAAAATGTAATAATGTGCATTGGTAACTTGTACTATATGTTATTCTAATTGTATATTAAAATATTTTATGACTGAATGCATAAAATAGTAGTACTTAATGCATTATGAGTTGTTTTTAAGATTTTTAAGACTTTTTGCATAAATGTATAGTATTTTGAGCATTAAAAATTATTTTAAAAACTTTTGATAAATCTGGTTTATAAAGTAGTATAGATAGTTTGTGGATTTTTTTAAACTTTTTTCTTTTTTCAAAAAACAAATAAACATTATCTATTTATTTTATACCTAAAGTAACAAACTCTTAAAACTGACATTATTTTAAATACTGTACACAAACATAATTAAAGACTCGCTTTATTTTTATAATACAATATATTATAAAGCTAAAATGGCAGATAGGCAATGACCCACATTCTCGAGACATGATAACCACCATAAAAATGTTTGACCAAAAAAAAAAAAAGTATTTATAGTTTTTTTATTTTATTAACCTGAATATCCAATTCATTATGCAAGCTGATTAATTTTAGGGCGACCACCTGCTTTGCAAGTAGACATGAGTCACCGCATTTGAATTTTCATGGCCACAAGAGGATTTTTGTTCATTCTTGACGGATTCCTCCAGTGGTTTTATCTGTTTGATAAAAAGAAATCCACTCATTCTTTTGACAGTCGTTCCCTTCGTGTATTGTTACTAGAGATGGCCAAATGGGTCCAGCCGGCTCGGGACTGGTGGAGGGTCGGGACCGACTTGGGACTTTGTTATATTCATTCGTTAAAATAATGTAACTCAGTAAGCACTTATCTAGATAAACATTTTCGTGAACGACCCATTAGTTTTGGTTCCTCTTTTGGTCGAAAATTTGAGAATACAAGTGATACCTTTCTTTGGAAAGATAAACGGGTCGTTAACTTTAGTTTAGCTCGTAGATTTTCAAGCCTGTGTCACTTAGATACAACCACAGATGCAAAAGGTAGAGCATCTCTAACAATTATGCTATAATTTTTCTATAACAGAATATAAAGAGTCAGCATCTTTAAAAAAATTATATCTAACTCCAAGAGCTACTTTATTTCAGTAATTTTAGTATTAACTATATTAATAATATATAATCAATATATTTAATAAAATATTATTTATCTCTCTTACACATTTAACTTCAATAAGTTTAATTGGTTGGTTATAATTAAAATATTGTTTCCCTCTCTTTTACAGGGTTTTAGAGAATTTTCTAAATTTAGATATTGTTACAATCTCTCTCTTATTTAATCTATTTTAGCATCAAGGATAACATAGATGTTGGAGCAACAAAAATGCTAAAATCTGATTTTTCTCTATTTTAACATAACTGTTGGAGATGATCTTAACGAGCGTGGCACTTGGAGTGATGGGGTGGGTTTGGAACTTTTGACATGAATTCAATTGATGGTTCCTTTAAGAAGACGGAAGTTTCCAAGTTAAATTTCTCAGAAACCTGACTGATGACAACACTTTACAATCTCTCTCTTATATTTTTATATTTACGTTTAAGAAATTATCTTTTTTAAAGGCATATAAATTTCGTTAGAAAATGAAGGAAAGCAAAAATGATTTCGAGGTTCCACGAGACTTGGATTCTACAAGAGAAAGTGAGAAACCAACATAGACAAACAAAACTAAACAAATAAGAAAGAGAAATAAACCAAGAAAGACCACCTATGAACGACGATTATAACACTGGTGACCTTGATGTTAATCTATTCATATCCATTGATAGCCATGAAGTCCAGTAGATATCGAGGCATTTTGATCGTGGGAAGCAGATAAAAAAAGACAACAATTGAGTGTCAAAAACTATGCCAGAGTGATTACGAGTTTCGTTACCAGTAAAGAAGACCATATCGTTCCAGTTTCTCAAAATTATGTAAGAGTGGTCCAGACTGTAGATTGTGCCACTCCATGAAATGAATACGATGTTACCTGATCAGGAAAAGCCGAAATGTCGTGAGCGTCAATTGGGTCGAGGAAGGAATTCCCACCACTTCTAAAAGCCTTCGGATACCGGTTTTCCTTTACTTTTTTTAATCAATAAGTATTTAATATTTTATTGGACAATCATGGGTTTTTAGACCAGCTTACATGCACAGACTATCGTGAATGATATAGAGTCATTCACAAGTGAGCCTTCATGTCATAAGAGCTTTGGTAGTCGTCGTATTCCAACCCGGAAATAATAAAGTTTTCACTCCAACCCTTAAGTTTTTAATCAGTGTACGACAGCCTAAACGGTTAAAAATAGTTGATTTTAAACTCTATTGTAATATAAAAAACAATCAATTATGTACTAAATTTTGTTTGATCGTTTTTTCAAAATAAGATTCTAAAAACTTATTGTAAATGCATCTCCAACAGATTCTTCAAAATAGAGATGTCGAAGATTTTTTCTCCAACAGATTTCTGAAAACCTTCTTCAAAACAAAGAAAGTAGGAAAGAAATAACGAAATTATGTAAATTTGAGGAATTTTTAGAAAATAATTATCAATGAAAAATAAATTACTTATTATTTCTATCGATAAAAAACTTTTATATTTTATAAAGACAAATTGTATGAAAAAATAACGTACTTTAACTTGATTCATATATTGGGTAACATACTTTCAAAACTTTTATTTTGATTCTTAAGACGTAAAATTTTAAACATTTAAATACCCGGATAACCGGTTGAAGCATTAACCGCTTACCATATTAATGTGGTGAGTGATGGTATGAAATTGATTTGAATAACAAATAATACCGAGTTATATACCACATCACTCGTCACATCAGCATAATAACCAATTACCAGAATACTTAAATGTTTAAAACTTTACATATTAAATACCAAAAATAAAAAATTTAAAAATATATTACCTAAAATAAAAATCAAGTTAAAATACATTGATTTATCTTTTTATAAAAAATATTGCAGTACTTCCGGTTTCCACCTGTTACTATAGACAGGATCCTGAAAAATCCATGATGTTTACCATCCGTACGTTTCCCTCAAATAATTATATCAACAAATATGCTTTTAATTGTGTTAAAAGGGAGATACGGCCAGATATAAGGCCAAGCATGCCATTTCTAATCATCATCACACTTTAATGGCGTGATTACGTTCATCTTCTTCAATCTTCAACTCCATATAGCTTCACTTGCACACACGAATCGCTTCTTCAACACTACATGCAAAATGCAGGTGATTTTCTTTCTCTTTTTATCGTTCATTTGCCTGTTTACAGCTCAATATTCCATAATCTGTTTGCTGAATGTTTCGAGTTTTGTGTTCATTGATGAATTTGTTTCAGACAAGAACCGTGCAAGTAGGGAAACTTTCAGATCTAGCCAGCGAGAGAGAAATCCATGAGTTTTTCTCGTTTTCTGGCGACATCGAGCACATTCAGATCTGCCGGTTTGTTACTTTGTTTGTATGGTGTTTAATTGATTGTACTGGTTTTTGTCGGTGTTAAGGGAAGTTATTCGTTTTTTTTTTCTTTCCTTTTCTGGTGGATGTAGTGATTCGGAAAGAAAGAGGACTGCATATGTCACGTTTAAAGATCCAAAGGCACTTGAAATTGCGTTATTACTGTCGGTAATTCACTTCTTAATTCATCTTAGAGTATATATTATCGAAAAGCTTATACACGCCCTATCTGTTGTTAGCATGAATTATGCATCCCTTTCTCTTAGTACTAATTATTGGTGATTTTAGTGAAATTATATGTTCATTTTATGTAATTGGATTCACAAAGAGAATATGAGGTTGGTGGTTAAGCTATATCACGGTAGGTGTGGAATGCACACTCGTGTAACCTAACTAGAACCTGAGTTTGTTAGATGGCGCCGTATGGCAGGGGTTAAGCGGACTTGCACCTTAGCCGTGGTTCTGCTGACTGATCAACAGGCGGGGTCGAGGGGGCCGCCCTCGTGTGTAACATCCTGAAACCTCCAGGATTTTATGAAGAGAAGTGCTTGGGGAAAATGAGTTTCTGAATTTTCTAAGTTAAATTCAAAAGCATCTGAGGGGTTGTTTGGCTCGTTTTCTATCAAGTCCTGTATGGATAAAGTTGTTTGTGTGGATTAATCTGACTTAATAAATAGAGAAGGTTTTTTAATTGAAAGGGGCAGGTTTGGAAAAGACTTGGCTTTTGGCATAAAGCTCCCCTAAAAACCTTACCAAATAAGCCACTTTTATATCAATAAGCCACTACCAAACAGTTATGTATAGCTAACCAAATAAGCTGCGAGTCCCATTAAGCTCATGAAGCTGCTAACAAACATGCCCTGAGTCGTCTTTAGAAGCTTCTGATTTTGAAATGGTATTGACTCGGAGCTTTTGACTCTTCTGAGTCAGAGCTACTGATTCTGAAGTGGTATTGGCTCGCCCTTAAGTGTTCTGCTTATTCTTTCTTATGAAAATACCAACTGAAGGTGTTCCTAGTCCTAGATGGAACCCAATTTTTACAATGTGAATTCTGGAAAGAGACAGTAGGTGACACCTTTTGTTTTTACCCATATGGTGATTAGGATCGTGTACCATTTGTCGATATTTTAACATCTAAGAATGATGAACTATAAATTACAAAAGGCTTCTTGGTGTTTCAAGATTGTTAAGTTGATATTGGCTGGAACATTGGTAAGGGCATTTATCATGCTGGTTAATTTGAGCATGGAATTGGTATTTATCACTTAATTGTTTTTGTAAAACAGATTATAACTTTCTTTCTCATGGAAAAATAAAGTTGGGCATATTCTGTGTACAATTTTACAGGGAGCGACCATGGTGGATCAGGTCGTAAAAATTTCTCCAGTTGAAAATTATGTGCCAAAACCCGAGTCCCTGGTATGTCTATTGTTGATTATACACACACACACACACACACTCTTTCACCTTTTCGTAATTGAACCGTGTCATATGATTTGCTTCTTGCAGGAAGTTTGTGCAGTTGATGATGCAGTGAGCAAGGCTCCACAAAATTCGTCAAATGCTGAGGTAAGAGAGTACACATGACACTCTGAAAGTGTTGCTCCCTCCCAAAATAAATTCTAATACCTTCTCCTTCTACCTGCTTGCTCCCACTCTTGCACAAGCCGGGGATCTTCATGTAAATAGCTGCTATACTCTTTTTGGATAGAGCCAGTTTTGCGAACATCTAACCCCCACCCTACTTTCGAGTGGGATATATTGGGTTAGTTTAGTTTGGTTTGGTTATGTCCAAAATCAATTCAAACATTTTTTTTGCAGCTTATGTGTAGGGGCTATTTACATCATTTACATAAACTAGAGTTTGGTATATATGTTATCTCTATTTTTCCTTTGGCTGGAATCTCAATTTCACTTTGTCTCCATTATACTGATGGCTGTCAACTTTTGGCCAAACCCTTGTTCTTCTTTTAATTGATTTCTTCATCACATACCAATCCCAACATGGTATAAGAGCAATAGGTAAGTTGTTATTATAATTGTTTAAATCGTTAATTGATGACAATGAATCTATGATCTTGGTCCACAAGATTCCTCTTATCAAGGGGAATTTAAACATTTGGTTGTCACTGAAAACACTTTTAATCAAACTATTTGCCTGATCAGACACCGGATTCATTCTGGGAAAAGTGATATTGTTGTTAGCTTATGAATAGCTACACAGTGAGGAACTATTGGTTGCTGGCCATTCTACTTTATAATGCTTTCAGTTCTAGACTTTTAGGGTACATTTTCAAGCTTCTTGTATATGGCTTATGATTGATAAACCACATTTACCAACATTTTCTTTAAGATTTCCCTTCCACAAAGAATCCATATAGCACAGCATTTAGATGGAGCTAATATCTGCTTACATTAATTAATGTGATTCATGTTTTTTAATCGTAAATAGAGAATCTGTTGGAGTTGAGTGTAATTTTGTTTAGAGAGTTTTTAACTTTTGGTTCTCTATTTTAAAGGAATTATAGATAATCTGTTGGAGAGGCTCTAAAGTTACAACTCTCTTTTCCATGTTAACAGGCGAATGGTACTTCTCGTAGTGGAAGAGTTTATACAAGTAAAGCGCAAGATGTTGTTTCCAGTGTGTTGGCTAAAGGTTCGTCTATTGGGCAAGATGCCATGAATAAAGCTAAAGCATTTGATGAAAAGCATCAGCTAAGAGCCAATGCATCTGCCAAAGTGATTTCCTTAGATAAGAGAGTAGGACTTACAGAGAAATTCAGTGTTGGAATCTCGGTGGTAAATGAAAAAGTTAAGTCTGTTGATCAAAAACTTCAAGTTTCTGACAAGACAATGGCAGCATTAATGGCAGCCGAGAGGAAATTAAACGATACAGGATCAGCTGTCAAATCAAGCAGGTTTGAAGAACTTCCCTTTTATAACTTGGATTTTATTCATTGCCATAATGTTTATTCTCAGCTTCTTGTTTCGTGTTGCCTGATGAGACAGACAGATTTAGGTTACTAGAACACCAAGTTAGACTAGGGGTCTGTAGTTTTTTCACTTTTCACACATTCGTTATGCTTTTCCTGTACTTGATGCTGTGTATATTGTTGTTGCATTCTGATATCTAGTTTCTCAAAATTTAGTTTATCTATCTCTCTCTTTCTAGTTGTATTGCTTTCAGTTACTCATATTTCAAATTTTAGCTTATATGTATTTCACCCTTTCACACACTTTTCACTAGTTGGGGGTCTTCACAAGCTGCTCTATTTTTTCGGGTATAGGTCAAGTCTACGTACATCTTACCCCCCTAGAGGTGGGGTCATTTTGGGATATGACCTTAAATGAGTTTTTATTTTTTAATTAATTTTTTTAATTAAATTCATGACCTCCTTGGCCTATTAAAGAAAAAATAGCTTTATACTCATGAGAAGGTCATGGATTTAATTAAAATCTCATTTAAGGTTATATACCTAAAAATCCTCCTCCCTCCCCCTCGGGGTGGGATATACAGGGTTTGTTTGGTTTGGTTTGGTTTGATGAAACAGATTTACATATTGCTGCATGCATTTACAGGCATGTCCAGCTACTTTGATTGTTTCTTGAATAAAAGCTACATCTTTTTTTGCAGTCATTCGGGCTAGTTTGCTGCCTTTTACATAGAAGGAATTGGTCATGAGCAAATATTTATTAGCTGGGATATTCTTAGTTTTACTCGTCCATGCACCTATTGGGCAAAATCTATAGTTATCTCAAATGCTTACCATCAAACTCACCATTTTTTCATACGTAGAAAAAATATGTGATGGTAGCCATAGATTTATGGTATTATCATGCTACCTACAAGATTATCATGGTTTTATCGAATGAAATATGAAGATATCATTAGCTCGTTGCTTAATATTTGTAATATTTTACGGTTGGATTTGTTCAGGTATGTGACAGCCGGTGCAGCTTGGCTAAACGGAGCTTTTGGTAAAGTGGCGAAGGCTGGGCAAGTTGCAGGAACAAAAACTAGACACAAGTGGAACTTGGCAGTGTCAAATTTAACTACAAAGGTACATACATTTCACTTCTGTTTGTTATTAAAATTAAACCAGTAAGTCCCACTCGAAAGTAGGGTCTATCTGACCTCTACCCTAAAGAGTAGAGCGACTATATCTGTGTTTATCTTTCTCTGTTCCTAATCATTTATCCACAAGAGTAATTAGTATAAACCGAATTCCGTTATTTTTCTAGACAAAAGGAATATCAGACCACTTAAACCATCATACTTGGTTTTTCATTGCAAATTAACAATATTTATGGGAAAATGCAAAAATAGAAACTATGATTCTCCAAAATCATTCAAGGTTTAAAAAGTAAGTTCCCATTTGGTTTGTAGGATTGGACTGGATTTGAAGGGATTTGGAATGGAATTTCATTCAAATCCGTGTTTGGTTTGAAAGGTTTCCTGGATTTGATATCCCATAAACATAGGATTTTGAAATCCACGGGGTGGGTTGGTATCATGGGATTTTGTGGCATTTGTTTGTAATAATGTTTAAAATTTATAAAATTATTTGTTTTGTAATAATCAATTAATAAAAAAGTAATTTAATTTTGTTTTTATAAATTATTTATAAATAATGGAATTCAATTCTTTTCCAAATCCTACAAACCGAACAAACCAACGATTCCAATTACAAATCCTTCCACAAAATCCAAATCTCTCAAACATGCCGTCAAACCAAACAGGCCCTATTGGTCCATTTGCTTTGCGGAATTTGGAATTGGATTAGTTACATTCAATCTCACTTTTGGTTTAAATGAAACACTGGAAACGGAATCCCACAAAGACTTTAGAAATCCGATGAGGTGAGTTTTTTGATTCACGGGATTTCATTGGATTTATTTGTAATAATTTTTTAAAATATGTGAATTTTTTTTTGTTTCGTAATAATTAATTAATAAAAAGGTAAATTTAATTATTTTTATAATTATTTATAATTTATTTCTATATATTATCTATACAGAATAGAATTCAATTCCGTTCCAAATCCTATAAACCAAACACTCTAAAAATTCAAAATACGAAATCCAAATCCCTGATTTTGTAAAAGTTACATTAGACAAGAATCTCGGATCATGCAGGATTCTGGCATTACAGCGTAATTCTCGGGGATGGATTTTATAGATCGAGATCCGATGATCAGATGGTGAACCTGGTTCTTCTGTTTGTTTTATGGTCAGTTTTGTAATTCATTTATTGGTTTATTACCAGTGTATTTATTCTCATGTTCATGTTCAAAGTGTGCAAAAACATTCAATGTTGTTTTCTGATCAGAATTATTTACCTGCAAGCTCTGTAAATCCATAACAATGTACAACTATTTGTGCATAGAATGCAAATCATTTTTCTATGTTTGATTTGACTCGTTTAAAAGCTCGATTAAAGTTTTCGATTCGAGCCAAGTTGAACAAACATTTTTTCTAGCTGAATATGTTCATGTTCATAATAATCTGAGATTTAGGTTATAATGTGTACCTCAAAACTTGTTAAATGAACATTGAGCTATTCGAAGCTCAAATATGATAATATTTTTTTCGAGTTGAGCCCAAACAACTTGTTACTTGTTTATTGAGGAGTCGTTTACTAAACGCCTATTGGATAAGTGCTTACCGTGTTAGCATGACAAGGATCAAGAATCTTATCCGGTAAGAGAGGGAGAAGATGCTTACTCGGTTAGTGTTTTGTCACTTACCGGGTAAGAGATGTTTACAAACAATCTATTTTTGGTGGCCGAGAATATTATCCGACAAGGTAATTGAGGGTGGTGGTGCTTATGTGGTAAGCATTTTGTAAATGATCCTCAACTCTTTGAAATACACATCAAATCTAAACAAACTAAATGGAGACATGTATGGAAAAAATAGATAAAAGTAGGCATGGCAACGGGGTGGGGGCAATCCCTGGCCCTGGCCCCAGCCCCGGTTCCACTATCTCGTCCTCGTCCTTGGCCTTGGTCCTTGCCTGGATACGGGGAAGTGAATCTGTCAATCTCCGGTTCCACAATAAATGGATTAAAAAATGGTCAAGATTGGTTGAAAAGGATAATATATTATGTAAAACATTAAAAAAATATAGTTTTAATTAATATATATACATACGGGGCGGGTTGGGTCCGGTTTTCAACATTCTGGGGATTCCTGGCCCCAAACCAGGTACCCGTTTTTACGAGAAATCCTTAGCTTTGAACGGAACGGGTGAACCAGGTTCTTCAACAGGTGTGACAAATCACCATGCCTAGATAAACGTAGCACTTTATTTCTCTTAATTACATTTTTGAAGAAAATAAATTATTGATCGTATGCTTGTATTATATAAGTTATTTTTTTAAATATTAAATTTAACTTGACATATATTTAATAAAATAAAATCTAGAAAAATCGTGTATAGGATTAAATAAATAAAATTTAAGTCCAAATATTTTTCAAAATAAATGTTGCTTTTTCTTATAATTCAAAAAAAACATATCAATTGCATTGAAATAAATCTAATCAGACTTGTCATTAATATAGGAAAATTAATTAAAATAATTATTTTTTAGCGGTAAGTTTCATCTCTTTAACCATTTCTATATTATTATTTTAAAAATATAATAATTAGATAATTCTAAAACTATATCATTTTTTTATTATAGACATTTATTTTGAAACAAATGAAGTAATTAAAAAACCGTTTATGCTATCGTGCTTGAAAGAAATTGGGTACCCAATGGAGGGGGAAATTATGTATTTATCAACAAATATGCTAAAAAAAAAGATTTTATCAGTTTTTTTACTTCAACAACTATGTTATCTTATATATTAAAATAAAAAGATAAGAGAAATTGTAAAAATTTCTAAATTTAGAGAAATCTTTAAACTGATAAATAAATTATTATTTTAATATTTTTTATTGATAAGTGACATTAAAAATAAATGTTTAGCAAAGAAAATAATATTTTATTAAATATATTAAATATTTTTATTAATATAATTAATGTTAAAATTGTTAAAATAAAATAACTATACATTAGCCGTGAATCATATACTTCCCGATTGCGTATAAGTGGCCGCAAGACAACTCAGACCCGATTCTTCATTTCGATCTCAATCTTCTTAAACTTTCGTCAATTTCTTTGAATTTTTCACATTGAATGCGAAACCCAAATACCACCCCTTACCCCCATCTCACCTTGCATTTGGGTATATTCTCGACCCGATCCGCCCTCTCTTCACACGCCATACTAAAAAAATTCACCCAAAATGCGAACCATTTAAAAGGACCTGGAGAAGCAGAGAGTTTTGGAGTTGGGTTTTATTTGGTTTTCGTTCTTCGCTATCTTTGAAGGTGATTATACTCTCTTCCCTCTCTTATCTCATTCTTAATTTGGGTTTCTTTCTTTCTTTCTTTCCGTATTCTTGATTTGTTTCGATATTAATTCGTAAGTATAATCTTGGATCACTACCAGTATTTGCCACTTCTGGGTAGTTTGTGTTTTTGGAGTTTGATCTCAAATTTTCAATCTATTGATTCTTATTGATTTTTGATCTTACGGGTATCTGATTCTTTGGAGAAATGTTGATGTGGTTAAGTTTTATTTTTCATAAGATTGATTATCCCTTCTCCTTTTTCCTGTTTAGATGTGTACAGAAGGCCTGAAACATGCTTAGATACACACATTTTATCTAGAAATCATTAATTTTCTGTTTGGTGTTGGGTCATTTTCTTATTGGTGAGAGATTCTTATAGTTTGTTTTGGGAAATTGAGTTATATATAAGTAAAGCTGCATCTTGATCTCCATGTCTTTGGATTTTGCTTTTAGTTGGTTGATCTTGATCATGCTTCATTTGTAATCACACCCTTTTTTAAGATTTAGTTTCTAAGTTTGCGGAGGAACTGCATTTGGTTATAACTTTAAATTCAAGTTGAAACTGTTTCTTTCTGTGATGAAAGGTCAGAAGTTTAGGTCAATTATTAATATGCAAAATTGTTGCAGTTTATATCAATATGATTCATTAAATTTTAGTTAAAGCTCATGTTCGAGTTCCAAATGCATGCATATTTAACTGTATATGTAAACCTCAAGGTTTCATGGAGCCTTTCATAAAGTTAGTTCTAGCTATGTAAGCTCGGAAATTTCTCATTGATCAAGTCAATGTCGTTTATGGAACGATTATGTTCCAAAAGTCACGATACTTAATAGTAACCAAATCTTTGCTAGATCTGATTTTATATGAGTGATGAAGTTCTTGAACTATATCATATTTGGCTTTCTTGTGTTGTTGCAAATAAATAACGATTCTTGTCACAATGAGAAAAACGTTGTACTTTGCAGGGATAAGCGATTTTAGACAAATTACGGGAACGTAAATGTAAACTACAATGTTCTTTTTTCTGCATTTTCTCGAGAACAATGGTTTGTTTGCTGCAAATAGCTAAGTACAATGGTTCAAGAAGTGATCTTATATCTATATATATATATATATATAGGGTTGGGTTCCAGTGAGAAGAGAAGTTATGGTGAGAAGCGTAAGAAGGGATCTCCACCATTTGATCAATCCTAATTGAATGTCAACATTAATGAGGTGCAACGAGATGCACCGAATCAATTCCCTTCTAAAGCGCAATTCATGGGTGGGCATGAGATTAAAAGTGATCAAGGGTTCATATCTCTTATGCTTCTCAGATAACTTCCCTTTTCACACGATCCTTCGCCTATGTATGTATGTATATATATGGGGTTGGATTCCGGTGAGATGGGAAGTTATGGTGAGAAGCGTAAGAAGAGATCTCCACCTTTGGATCAATCCTAATTGTATGTCAACCCTAATGAGGTGCACCGAGATGCACAAAATCAATTTCCTTCTAAACCGCAATTCATGGGTGGGCATGAGATTAAAGGTGATCAAGGGTTCAAATATTTTCTTTCCCTTCTCACCATAACTTCCCTTCTCACACGATTCTTCGCCATATATATGTGGGGTTGGGTTCCGGTGAGAAGGATAATTCGAGTGAGAAGCGTAAGAAAGGATCTCTACCCTTTGATGCACATTAGGATGAGATGCACCGAGATGCACCAGATCAATCCCTGTATCAAATGCAATTCATGGGTGGGTTTATTATTAAAGGTGATCAAAGGTCCAGATCCCTTCTTACGCTTCTCACCTTAACTCTCCTTCTCACACAATCCTTTGCCTATGTACATATATATATATATATATATACACATATACATATATATATATATATACATATACATACACATATATACATACACACACACACACACACACACATATATATATATATATATATAGTCATCTTCAATGATTTGTCTAGAGCGCAAAACCTGCTGCTTAAGAAACAAAGAAATTGAACCCTAAATCAAAATAATATAATAAAATGGGACATACTTATATTTTTGTCTTGAAAATGCGATAATAATGCCATTTTGCTGTGTATGTTTTAACTTATTCTATGATAATTGTCCACATGAACTCTAACTACAGTTTATCCGAAGGTCTTAAAAATCTTGGCAGTCAATTATTTTGTTTACTTTCCATTCCTCTTGATTGAATGAGTTTCCAACTGTGAAGAGGATGTATGAACGAGGATAGTATACGTTGCAAAAGAACAAATTTCAGTCTGAAAATGGAAATGAACAATCATTGTGGGTGATCTACGAATGTGATTCCCTTGGGAATATTGAATTTTAAAAGAAACTACAAACTTCATATTAAATCCAGTAACAGATTCTAAGGAGCTAATAATAGAAGTCATCAGTCGTGCTTGATCTTTTTTCCCCTTCCTTTTTTATAGTTGCTTATTCCATCCACCCTCTGCTCCATTAATATTCTTCAAAACATTCGCATGGCATTTAGTGGAACTACAATGAGCTAAAGTCTACCTTTCAAAATCATGTCTATTTTGTAATCTTTCCAAAAGTTGGTAAGTTGATTACGAAGTGTTAAAATTTGTCCAACACTTGATTATTTGATGTGCTAAGATATGGAGGAATCACTAATTTTCTTCAAATATTACTCTAATTTTCTTCCTCTCTCACATGTTGCAATCATGAAACTTTGGGGTCTTCATAGTTCTTGAAACACACAGACCCTATCTCCAAGTGGAATATGCTTGCTTATGTTTGGTTTATAGTTCTTAAAACGTCTTTTGAAGTATCATAGGAACATAATATTCTTCAATAGATTTTCATCAATCCTGTTATTTCTGTTTTCCTATGAGATCCGAGCTTTTCTACCTGACAAGTGATTGCCACTTCTTTCATTGGTTATGTGTGGGGTCCGCATTTCATTACAAAAACTTAACATACGAATCATTTCTAGAAGTATGATCTTATAGTTATTTCTGATGGTTTTCTTGCTGATAGGTGTTCTGCAATGTGCGGCCGAGTTCTATTCAATGTGTGATGGTAGTTTGTGAAAGATGGGGATGCTGCTGGTTACATAGCGGTTGCAATCCTTAAATTTCCTGAAATTTTCTTTTCTTCAAGATTGGATAATTAGACCAAGTCAAAAAATCATAGTAGTTTAAAGCTTTCTTGGGCTTAATTAGTTTCTTATTGTTATTTCACCCCCAAAAGAAGGAAAAAACTAGAGTCGCATTATGTAGCGATGGCTAATCTCTAGTCATTTGACGTGTTGGAGTTGACTTTCTGAATACACAGAGAGATATTGTTAGTGGTGTGATAAAGATCCGTGGCTAGTGATGGAGCATATAAATTTACTTTACGGTCAGCGGAAGAACCTCCAATCTCCTAATCGTAAGTTATCAAAAAGTGGGATCTCTAAAGATTTGTGGGTAGTTGTGCGAGAAGGGTCTGTGGTTGATGTGGAGTCAGCGTTGGTCTTACTGAAGAAAAATGGAGGAAATATTAATTCAAGAAATGCTTTTGGTGTGACGCCTCTTCATATTGCAACATGGAGAAATCATACACCTATTGTTAAGAGGTTACTTGAAGCTGGCGCAGACCCTAATGCTAGGGTGTGTTAACCTTCCGTTCGTTTGGATATAACAAAAAACCATGAAGCTGTTAAATTGATAATGTTTATCTTCATATTATGGAGTAATTCTTTATTTTTCTTCGCTCTGGGGTGGGAAGGCAAGTTAAAGTTGGCATGCACACATATACAAAATCTAGGGGCAAGTTCCGTTAGGAACCTAAAATTCATTAGGAAGTCGGAACCACCCACAGCGCAATACGTGGGCGTATTCATTAGGAATATGGACGTGTTATTCTTTATGAATGTTGTAACATATTCATCATGAATGCATGATTCATGATGTATAACACTTCCATATTCATCATGAATGTGTGATTCATGATGAATAACACTTCCATTGTCATGTGGCTCGTTTTGGACGGTTTCCGGGTTCCTAACGGAACTTCCCTCCAAAAATATCTATTAACATATGTAGATAGAAGCACACTCACATACATACACAATATGTGTATACGTATATATGTATACATTACTTATTTTTGTTGAAAAATCTCGTATTATATTTTAGGATGGAGAATCTGGATGGACAAGCCTTCACAGAGCTCTACATTTTGGACATTTGGCTGTGGCTAGCATGCTTCTTAAATCCGATGCTTCTATTGCGATAGAGGACTCTAAGTCACGTACACCAGTAGATCTCCTCTCTGGGCCTGTGCTACAAGCTAATGGCAATCGGGATAATTCAGGTACTCTTATGAGCATAGTGACATAATTACATAAATCAGAATGCATTCGTTTATAATTTAAAATGCCAAGATCATCCCTAATCGTTACTAACCCAAATGTTCATCAATTTCAACTGATTTTACGAGTATGTCTGATTTGTATGCATAGTTTAAATGAATACAAACATGATATCGAACCAACACTCGGCATAATCGATGCCTATTCAAACCAACCGCCCTCCCACCTAATGTATAGTTTTCGACACTGTCTGGGGATACCAATGGACTATCTTGGTATTGTCAATTAGTTCGTACAAATAAACATTCAAAGACATATGAGAAATTTCATATATATTCAGTCATTCAACACCAACAATATCAGTCATATATTGTTCATACATAAATAATCGTACTTTTACATTTTCAAACCAAACAAACTGATGAACATCACTAAAATCGAATAACGCATGGGGTTTAATTCCGGGATGATTTGGGGATGTGCATAACCCTGCATAGTTACTAAAATACCCTTCCTTGGAGCTTGAATCACCATTTCCAACGGTTGTATTGCACTAAAATCAAAGAAAGTTGAAGGCTTTTTAACAAAATTGGAAGAACAAATGGAGTAATCAATGGGGAAAAGGGAATATGGCCACTCCCATCCGGTTAATGCCTCTAACTATAAAATTATGCTAAAACTAATGTAAAGCCTCTCAAAAACAGAACCCTAGCATATTTATATAGTTTGGTTAATGAAAATGCAATGATCATGATGCTCTTCATTAAACTCGGATATCTTTGCTGTTTGCACAGCGATTCCAACTTCAACGCTGATTTCGACCTAGATGAAGGTCAAATTTTCAAACACTCTGAATGAAAGTTGCAGGTCTTTTCGTCATCTTTCCACAACTTCTTGAATATCTTTCATAGGTGGTTAGATGAGTGAGATATGACCAAAATACTGCATCATAGTAAAGCTGTTCAACACCCTTCTTTTAATTTTTCTTTGCCTGTTTTGTTCCTTAGATTGTCTCTAATGTTTATCCAATTTCTTGTTATTCTCTTTTCTTGTGTTGTTTTTGTGTCAAAAATTGATCATCTGTATCTGTATCAAAATGTAATAAGAACGCATCATGTCCCGCCAATATTCTCAAGCGTACATAAATTAACTATTAAAAGAATAGTGTCTTACAACGCTATCACACACGAGATAAAAGTTCTTTTATTGTTACTTTGTGCATCTCCATATAAGTCAGACTATTTCATTTGTAATTCGGTTTCTAGAGATTGTTTTTTGAGCTATATTTATTCTTGGTGTGATGTCAAATAACTTAGGCCCCGTTTGGTTTGCAGGATTGGGATTGGATTGGATTGGATTGGAGTTGCATTCCATTCCAATTCCATGTTTAGTTTGAAGGATTTCCTGGATTTGAAGTCTCTCAAACTAGGAATTTGAAATCCCATGGGGGTAGTTGGTATTTCGTTGGATTTCATAGGATTTGTTTGTAATAATGTTCTAAAATATGTTAAAAACACTTGTTTTGCAATAATCAATTAATAAAAAGGTATTTCATTATTTTCGTAATTTTTTTATATGTGTTTTTATAAATTATATCAAAAAAATGGAATTCAATTCCATTACAAATCCTACTCCAAATACTCCCAACAAATCCTTCCACGAAATCCAGACCCCTCAAAAACATTAAGTCATATAAAATGGGCCCTTATAGGGATTGAAGAGCGATTCTTCAAATCCCTGTTATCTTTTTTGTTGTTTTCTGAAAGAATACTTTGCCAAATCTGTCTTGCATTATGCAGCATATAATCTACATATATTTGATGTGCTGAACAGTCTCTTGTGTGTCCATTTAGTAGTGACAGAGTTGTATAGCTGGGGAAGTGGTGTCAATTATCAACTAGGAACCGGGAATGCACACATACAGAAGTTGCCATGCAAAGTTGAGTCACTTCATGGATCATTTCTCAACTCCATTTCATCAGCCAAGTTTCATAGTGTGGCTGTCAATGCTCGGGGTGAAGTTCACACCTGGGGATTTGGAAGGGGCGGCCGCCTTGGGCACCCTGACTTTGATATCCACAGGTAAAAACTTTTGCTATTTAACTCTACAAATTATATTCCAAATTGTTCTTATGCAGTTCAGTTAGGAACTTTCTATGGAATATTTGTCTTTTGGTTATTAATCTCTAATTAACGAAATTTCTAGTTCTGAGTAATTCCATTATCCTTTTTCATGGGTGACATGTTTTATAGAATTTTCGAAGTTATATAAATAATTCTTAACTTTTCCATGATTTATTGCTAGAGCGGTTCATTTCTTTATATTCTATTTGGTTTCACCGTTTTTGTACTTTTTTTGGTTGATTTTTAGCTAATGCCAACATTTTATTACAATTAATGTGTGGCTGTAAATAATTGTTTTTCTCTATATTTCTTTTTTGGTAAGCTGCCCTGGTCATAAACTTGGATAGGCTTATGATCCTCTTAATTGTTTATCGGTGGAACACACTTTTTATTTGAGTTCCTTCTTTTGTACAAATCGGTTTTTCTTGTCTTACTTCCTATTTCATTTCTACCAGTAATGAGGATTTGTTGATATATAACCGTTTCCTACTGCTTTTAAGCCTTCAGAATCACATCTTACAACACCTTTTTGCATTTTCTAGTGGTCAAGCCGCAGTCATAACACCGAGGCAGGTAACATCGGGGTTAGGTGCTCGCCGAGTCAAGGCGATTGCAGCAGCTAAACATCATACAGTTGCAGCCACAGTCGGTGGAGAAGTCTTCACTTGGGGTTCCAACCGAGGTTATTTCATCATCTACCTCCATTAAATCGTTCTGTCCCAAAATAAATGCAGTATAGGAGCTGGCCAATACTTAGGGGCTGTTTGGTTGGTTTTCCATTAAGTCTTGTATGAATAAAGTTGTCAATGTGGATTAATTTGTCTGTATAGGTTGAGGAGATTTTTCTTTTTGGATGGTTTTTTCATAGATGGAAGAAGCATTTTTCTATTTGGGAAGGATATGTTTGGGAAAAAATTGGCTTTTTGCATAAAGCTCCCCTTTAGAAACTTACTGAATAAGTCACTTTCTATATCATTAAGCCACTACCAAAATATAGCTGACCGAGTAAGCTGCGAGTCCCATAAGCTCATTAAGCTGCGAGTCCCATAAGCTCATTAAGCTGCTAACAAATAGGCTCTTAAACTTAATAATGACAAAATAGGGAAATTTTATGAACCAAAATCCGTGATATCAATCCTTGATGCCAAGAAGGAAAACTAGCATTTATTTTGGGACATACCCAAAAGGAACTATTGCATTTATTTTGGGATGGAGGGAGTAGTAAAAACGAAATTCTCATTGGACAGTATTTGTATATTTATTACATTTACGTGACAAGGAATACGAATATTGTCCCAGTTACATAACATTATTTTGCATTAAAGATTGAAGTACACGAAGTTTATTGATATTCTCGTTTGGTGTGCAGAGGGTCAGCTTGGTTATACGTCTGTTGATACTCAACCAACACCACGGAGGGTAAGTTCTTTAAAGTCGAAGATAGTTGCGGTTGCTGCGGCAAATAAGCACACTGCCGTGGTTTCTGATTCGGGTGAGGTTTTCACTTGGGGCTGCAACAAGGAAGGCCAGCTCGGTTATGGCACTTCCAACTCGGGTTCAAACTACACCCCAAGAGTCGTTGAATACTTGAAAGGAAAAGTTTTTGTTGCCGTCGCTGCAGCTAAGTATCATACCGTGGTTTTAGGTGTCGATGGAGAGGTATGTATTTTTTTGGATGGGTGTCCCAGGTTATGCCTATACAAATCCTGACAAATTGTAACTGCAAGAATCAGCCCTAATATACTCAATAGCCACACTGTTGTGTATGCCTGAAATCAAACCCTAGACAGATGGGATAGTCCACCACATCTCCCAGGACCTCAACCACTACGCCACAACCCTTTTTAACTATCATAACTTCTTTTAAATAGCTTGCTATGACAAACTAACAAATGATTGCCTTCTTTTAACGATCATAGCTTTCTATGACAAACTAACAGTCGTTCTTGTGAAAATGCCAAAAAAACACTATAGTTTGCAAGAATGAGCTTAGTTAGACAATTTGTGGAAACATAAATGCAAAAAGAACCATTTTATTTGGCAATTGGCCAAAACCGCTCATCATTGAGAAAAAACACGACGCTCTTTCTTGTGAAAACGCCAAAAAAACACTATGTCTTCTAGTTTACAAGTATAAGGGTTTCATAAGTCGAACACTCATAAAGCAACCTTTTTTTGCAAATGCTTCTCAAATGGGGATGCTGAATTGCTAGAGTTTTTTTTGCAGGTGTTTACTTGGGGTCATCGACTTGTAACTCCAAGGCGTGTGGTTGTTGCAAGAATTATAAAGAAAAGTGGAAGTACCCCTTTAAAGTTTCATCGATCTGCACGGCTTCATGTTGTTGCTATAGCTGCAGGGATGATACATAGCTCGGCTCTTACCGATGATGGTGCATTGTTTTATTGGGTTTCTTCTGATCCCAACCTTCGATGTCAACAGGTATTTCTTTCTTCCTGAATTTCTTGGTATATTTAGTATCGGGAAAAATGCAATGTAGTTTGCTTTAGCTCCTATTTAATGCAACACATATTTTCTTTTTCTCAATCCATGTGACAAAGTTTCCCAAATTTTTAACCATTTTGAAGTTAAATTTTTGAAACTTTGTTACATTAAATAAGAAATTTTAGAACTTGGTTAAATTAAATAGGAAAATTTGCATCTTTATTGCATTGATTGGGAAAAAAAAACTCCCTCAGTCCGAAAATAAGTGTCCACAATAGACATGGCACACAGTTTTAGACATGCATAATTATTAAACTTTTTAGTTAAACAAATGACAACTACACCCTTGATTAATTTATCTCTCTTCAAAACTCTTAAATATTTGTGCACTAAGTAAGGGTAGATTTGGGAATTTAGTTGTCTACTTTGAAACTGACACTTATTTTGGGACAAACATAAATAGAAACATCGAGACTTAGACGAGGGGAGCATTCATTACACTAATTAGGAACTAAATCAAACTTTACGGCATTTTGATGCATTTTACCCTTTAAAATTTTGTGTCTTTATTGCTGCAACGGCTTCTTTTTTTCTCTCTGATGTAGTTATATTTGCTTTGCGGGAAAAGTTTGGTTAGTATCTCTGCCGGAAAGTACTGGACTGCCGGAGTTACAGGTTCTGGCGATGTATATATGTGGGATGGTAAGAAAAGAAAGGATGTGCCTCCGGTTGTGACTAGATTACATGGTGTAAAACGAGCTACTTCGGTTTCAGTTGGAGAGACACATTTATTGGTGATTAGTTCTTTGTATCATCCTCCATATTCTCTCGAAATTGTAGACGATTCTCAGAGTTCGAAGCCAAAACCGAGGGAAGAGCTGTTAGATGATGAAGATTTTGCTTTTAATGATAACGGGTCTGATGAAGTCTCTGCAACAAATAATGTTGAAAGCAAATCTATTCCGACTTTGAAAAGCCTTTGTGAGAAAGTGGCGGCAGAGAGTTTATTGGAGCCACGAAGTGCGTTACAACTTCTTGAAATTGCAGATTCATTAGAAGCCCATGATTTAAAGAAGCATTGTGAGGTAGTCGATGATATATGTGTTTTTCACGTTTTATATATTTGTTTCTTTGCCAGTAATTCCGTCGAACCTAGGTGAATAATGATAGAAATGGTACCGTTGCTAAGGAAATTAAATCACAATGACTAAATCATCTGGGATTAAACTACAATACGATCATATTGATAAAGTAGAAAAATCCAAAATGTGGAAGTTGCCTTGTTTCTTTTTATGTGATGATAATTTGAGATCCCACATCGGTGGGGAGGGGAACAAAGGTTGCCTTATAAGGAACTGGATACCTCCTTTACCTGACCCGTTTTAGAATCGTGAGTCCAGATATGGACAAAGTGGACAATATTGGTACGGTTAGCTTCGGATGTTACAACTGGTATCAGAGTCGGGAATCGGACTGGTGTGCCAGCGAGGATGATAGGCTCCCAAGAGGGTGGATTTTGAGATCCCACATTGGTTGGGGAGGGGAACAAAAATTGCCTTATAAGGAATTGGATGCCTCCTCTACCAAACGTGTTTTAAAACCCGAGTCCAGATGTGGACAGAGCCGACAATATCTGGTACAGTTAGCCTCGGTACTTACAGATAAGTACACACCTTGTTCAAATAAGTTGTACATAACACACATATATGACTAGATATGGTTTTCTATCGATGATTCTTGAAGGTTCCCTACCATTTTCCTCCATTTTCGTGTTGTGGGTCCCATCTTGCTTTCTCATCAAGTAAATATGACCCACAAAATGAAAATGTTAACGGCCAAGACGAATAAGAGAGCATAAAGATTTGTTGTGAAACAAGATTTAAGTTAATGAAATGATTCTTGATTGGTACTTATATGTTATTTACAGGAAATCGTGATCCGGAATCTTGACTACATTCTTACAGTCGCATCCCATGCAATTGCTAGTGCTTCACTTGATATTTTATGGAATCTCGAGAAATCATTGGATTCAAAATCATCTGATGCATGGAGTCACCGCCGGCTTCCAACCACAACGGCTACTTTTCCTGCTATAATCAACAGTGAAGAGGATAGTGACAATGAGATCTTTAGGACACGTGACAATCATAACGGAAAGCTAGCTTTAAAGAAAGATTTAAACCAGAAATTTGAAGGGTTTTTTCAACCATATGATGATGCAAATCACGAGATTGTTAAACAAGTTCGGGCTATAAGAAAGAAATTGCAGCAGATTGAGATGTTGGAGGTGAAACAGTCAAAAGGGTATCTTCTTGATAATCAGCAGATGGCAAAGATTCAGAGCAGGCTGGTTCTTGAGGGTTCACTAGTTGAGCTCGGTGTTCCAATTGATGCAATTGGACTGAAGTCAACTTCATTGTTGACCGTCGAAAAAGGGAATAAGAAGGCCGAGGGAAGTAAGAAACAGAAGAAAAAAAGCAAACAAAAGTCAGCACAAGGGGGCGTGGTGTCTAGTAGTTGTGAAGATGAAAAATTGAACACCGTGAAGGGCTTCTCGCCTTCTGAAGTTGAGCAGGAGGTATGTCCCATGGCACTCAAATTTACAATTCCACCCTTAATTATTAGATGGAGAAATTCATTATTCCCTCTATTATTAAGGGTAAAATGGTCATTTAGTTGATTAAAGGTATAATGATTATATCACATTTCTAAAACTGTGTGCCTTTTTCATCATGAACGTTTATTTTGGGATGGAGGGAGTATATGTTGTTCTTTTTGAAGAAATTGGAGAGATGAAAGACTCACAAATAAGAATTATACATTATGGCTAGAAATCTAGAATGCGTTTTGTTATGCACGGATGTTATCTTTTTCTTAAAATTGAAAATCTTGATCCATATATCAGGCATGCATATCCTTGCAAATAGGTATAAATGCTTGGCAATATTTGGATCCAAATGATCATAGTGAGTCCATTCGTGTATCACACTCTAGAAGAATACTTTTTGTAACGATGCAAGTCTGTTGTTTTCACGACTGTTGGAGCTATGAAGCATAATTTGAGTATTCATATGTGAATCGTAATTTCAATAGGAAAAGGTGATAGAAGCCAACGGAAAACAGGTTGACACGGCTGTTAAGGAGACACCCATTGGGTTCAAGAAAGATGTTTCATGTATCCCAGAAAGTAAGCGTTCAGCATCATCATCTAAGAAGAAAAATAGAAAAGGCGGGCTTTCTATGTTTCTAAATGGTGCTCTTGATGACATCCTGAAGAAAGACCCTTCTCCACCCCCAACGCCCAAAAGCGAGGCCCCTGCTTGGGGAGGAGCCACTATTTTGAAGGGGTCCACTTCTCTAAGAAAGATACAGGATGAGCAGGGGAAGACCATGGGTAATAAGCCAGCGGCTAGGAAAAAGGATCCGTTGGAGGTTTTACCTGATGTCAGTATTGGTGACGAATATATGTTGAGCTCGTTTTTTCCCTCAAAGCCGATTCCTGTGGCTTCAATCACATCTCAAGTGCTAGATTCTGAAAGATCCACCCCTCCTTGGGTTCCTTCAGGGACCCCGCCCCTTGGTTCACGCCCGTCTCTCAGGGGCATCCAGTTGCAACAGGTGGAGTACATAAAGATCAAATTCTAGAAATTTTCAGGTTATTATGAACACTTAGAATTCTCTTATGTTTTGTTTTTGCATTTCCAGGGGAAAAAACAACAAACGTTATCCCATAGCCCAAAAACAAGAACCACTGGGTTCTCACCGACCAGCGGTCAGGGTGCACCATCTGATTCGGTGGGTTTAAACCGATGGTTCAAGCCGGAGGTTGAAACACCATCCTCCATACGCTCGATTCAGATTGAGGAGAAGGCCATCAAGGATCTGAAGCGTTTTTACAGCAGTGTTAAGATCATAAAGAACGAGTCTTAAAAGGTCGTGCAATATTCTGTCGGCAGGTTAGGTTTTATTTAACATAACGATCTTTTTCTTGTTTTAACAAGCTTCATTTCTGCAAGTCAACTGTACATATTTCATCATTGTTGACTTGAGTAGACATATGTGTTTGACTGTTTCTTCTATTAGTTTCTTGTTTCTCAATTCAACAACTTGTTAACAAGAGAATCTTTATCCGAACAAAGATCAAATGTTAAGTTGGTAAATTTACCAATATATCCTTTACATTGGCTTATTGGAAAATACTGATGATATTATCCATTTAAGTGTTTTTGGTTTTGTGGCCTTTCAAACACCAGACTAGTTGGTTTCGCAAGGACCACTGAAGGGTTCTTTGTATGGTCTTTCCAACAAGACTCTTTTTGTAGCTTGAATCAAGATCTCTTATTTCTACATTCAACACATTCAAGAACTTATCTAAAAAGAGAACTTTTGGTCAAAAACTTTTCTTAATACACCTCTAGAAAGTGTTCCCTCATTTGGTATACGGGACAGGAGAGAACAAAACAAAAACCTGATAATTAGACTGGGACATGACCGGACTGAGGGCCTGTTTGTTAGCAACTTAACGAGCTTAATGAGACTCACAGCTTATTCAGTCAGTTATGCATAACTGTTTGATAGTGGCTTAATGATATGGAAAGTGGCTTATTCATTAAGCATATAGGGGGTTTTATGCAGTTTTTTCCAAACCTGCACCTCCCAATTAAGAAACACGCTCCTTCCATCTATGAAAAACCCCTCCCAAACAAAAACCTAACCAATCTATAATGACAGATTAATCCACACAAACAATTTTATCCATACAAAACTTGATAGAAAACCAACTACACAACCCTTGAGTGAGACAAAAATGAAGTTCTTTGTCCCACCAAAATAGGTGGAACAAAAATAAGGGAAATGAGACAAAATAGATAAATTACTAAATAGTCCATGTCAAAACAACACCTTAAAACCTTCCGCAATTCTTTCACCAGCCTACCTCACTCTCGCCTGGTCGGTCACGTCCATTGTTGTCCAATCCTGTTGCATACCAAACATACCCTTTATGTTGGCTTCTTAGAAAACGCAGGTGGTATCCTTTTTAAGTTTTTTCTTGGTGAGCCCTAGACACACCAGACTCGCTTTGCAAGAATCAGGGAGGGGTGTCGTTTTTCCCTGAAAAAGACTGTTTCAAGTGAATGTTAACAGGTAAAATTTACTAATATATCCCTTGGAACCTTTACTCTTTCATGTGCTTTTGAGAAGGGGTGTCTTTGATATGCAGTTTTTCCATCAGGGAGTGAATAGTAATTTCTCCATGTTACCTTACCATTCTAAGCTTAAAACAGTGCTCAGAAACACAGCTTTCAACAATAATAATAAAAAAACTGATGATGGTCCAGACCTCTTTTATTTGGTTGGGACTCATGTGATGATGAAAAATTCCATCTTGCAGAAGGGTGTTTCTGGAAAACTTAGAAAGAAACAAAGAGACGAGAAGTTGTACGTAGTGCAAGATGAGTTGTACTCTTTCTTTCTTTCTTTCCAAAATGTCAGAAATTTGCTAACCACTCTCCATTGTCTGTCCTCTGATAAAGCATTTCCTCTAGAACAAGACAAGCCCCTTGCCTCCAAAATCTACCAGCTTTTCATTTCTTTATGTGCTAAAGTGACCTGTCATTTCATGTGCTTCCCTCATTTTAAATCCCCATGAAACTTCTTCACTTTACATGTATGTATATATATATATATGTATGTATCATGACACCATCATATTCATGACATCAAGGATTTGAGTGCTTGCAGGTTTCTTGATTCTTGAATCATGAAAGAAATATCATATTCATAACATCAAATATTTGAGTGCTTGCGGGTTTCTTGATTCATGAATCATGATAGAAATATCATATTCATAAAATTAAGGATTTGAGTTCTTGTGGGTTTCTTGATTCTTGAATCATGAAAGAAAGAAATGGGGTTGTTTGGAATGAAGTTTGATCCAAGATCCTTTGTGGGTTCTCGAGGGATCTCGGACCAGGCTTCATTCTTGACAATTGTCTTTTCAATATGCGCGTAGATTTATATGAATGGTTCGAGATGTTCTCTTTAGTTGTTTAGATGTAAGAACGATCCATGATCTTAAGCTCTACGGCGGATCTTTGACCTTTACGGGTTTTTGAGGGTCGCCATCGCTCTTGACAATCGCCTTCTTGGGTACGTGAATGAACTCTTGAACTGACCGTACCCCAAACCGACACAGGTGAACTAGTAGAGTATACTAGGGCTGGCTTGGTTGCTATTATAAAATACCGGGTGGCTACAGGCTCAAAATGAATCTGCTAATGAAGGTTCATATTTTTCGTTTTGTTATTGATTCTTTTGGTTGATTTGCATTACATTTTTGTTTTCGTTATTTGCCGAAACTTGCAGTTTCATGATTATAAGGTGCGCAAGCCGGGTAGCCAACTGGTTTGGCCCCCCTTAACTGATCCCAAATGTCCATCTCTAGGTGGGTTAGCCAACGAGCCTGGTTTCAGTTTGGTTCTATGGACCAATTCAGGAGCCGGAAACCGCCAACCAATCAAAATCATGACGGTTTACGGGTTGGTCTTTTTTCTGTTGATTTGGATGATTTTGTTCTAATTTGATTAGGGTTTGATTTTAGATGCCTTCACTTGGTTCAAGATTCTTTGTGAAATCGATGAGTTCGGTCTAGATCGGTTCTAACTCAGAAGAATTAATTTTCAAACTTGAAATGAGGTTAATACTTTATAACGTATCCTTATTTATTCAGCAGAGATTCTAACTTACTTTATGATGTAAAATTGTAGTCCATCAAAACAGTATCGTATGCAATAATTTACCTGGTAAGTGCTTATCGGGCAAGAGTTTTCATCCTTACTTACCGGGAAAGATATTATCGCTCTTACAGTGTAAGATTTTCGACCCTTGTTATATTCATTTGTTAAGGTAAAATGGTAAATGACCTGTAAGGGGTTGTTTACTAAGCGTTTATCCGGGTAAGTGATTATCAAGTCACATTATCTTATCGGATTAATTGGAAATGACCATAAATCTGACCCGATAAGAGCGAGACAAGGACTAAGAGTCTTATCCAATAAGTGAGGGCGAACACTTACCACAGTTAGCGTTTACCAGGTAAATTGTTGCATATAATGTCGTTTTTATTGACTAAGATCTTACCCGGTAAATAAGTTATAGTGTTAAATTTTACTAAGTAATTGTTTTACATAATGACCCATTAATTATCAAGTAATTATATCAGTTTGGGTTTAATTCAGTTATTTTTTATTTTGCTGTCTCCTTTTGTTGGAGCCCACACCCCTCAAATAATATAATATAGAAAAAACTGTTAAAGGTTGACTGTAATTTTTTAAAAATTTTATTCTTCATTTCATATTTTATTGTTGAAAATGCTCTTTAATTAAAACTTAGGGCTTGTTTGTTTACTTTTTAATACTTTTATTAAAAGACAACATTTGAATTGTTAATATGTGAATGTTGTTTGACAAAAAAAATATGTCTCTTAATGGTTCTAAAACCCTCTTAATGATTTTGTATCATGGGTCTCCTTTAACCATTCAGCCCCCTAATTTCATTGTAAACAATTACCAAACAATTATAATTCATTTTTTATTATATCATAAGAGTCTCTTAATCATTCCGACCACTTAATTATTATGCACCAAATCATTCAGCAACTGTCAAACAACTTGTTATTAAGTGTTGTATATCTAAATTGTATGTATACATTGAGAAAGTTTTTATCTGTAAGGGTTTTCCATAGATGAAATGAGCATTTTTTTTTTTTAATTAGAAGAAGCAAATTTAGAAGAAGAAAAAAACATGATTTTTTGCATAAAAAACTCTTATAAACTTTTACCCATGTACCTCCTTCTATCATTCTTTCAAAATTGGCTATTAGATAGAATAATAGAATATATCTATATTATATTATAAAATATTTGATAAAAAAATTTAAAAATTATTTTTTATGTATGAAGTATTGTTTATTGATGGATATTACTTAATATTTGGGATTACAAGTAAATTGTGCATAAGTGTTAACTTATTAAACCTCCATTTTTGAATTTGTGTAACTAACTGCAGATAAACATAATCATATACAATTTAAACATCACATTTTAAATTTAAAAAATCTAAAATATAATTAGTATAATCGTTAATATCTAATAGAATATTAAATTATTATTTTTATAAAAAATTATATTATTAAACTAAAAATAAGTTGATTCATTATTATATCTAAATTAAATTATAATAAAAAATTGAATCGAAGAAATTACATAAAAAACGAGAATTTGTAAATAGTTAATTTGATACTAATATCGATATTTTTTTCAAAATTAGTTACAATATCTTCAAAGTTATATTTTATTCAAAAATAAAAACATTATCACTTTTTCAAACCATATAAAACCGTATTATATCAATAAACAAAGAATAAAAGAAAACAATAAGATCGAGATATATCTCGTTGTATTGTACGAATACCCTTCTAATAATGTATAATACTATTTTGACTATCACTTATTCATACATGAATACACACAAACTAAAATAAACACATAAACTTGAATTTAGTTATATTCATATTATATAATCTGGAAAAATATATCGTCGATATGGTATTAAATTATAAAGGAATAAAATATATTTTTTATATAATTTGTTTAATTAAAAATTAATTATATTTAAAATAATTAACTTTAGAATAAAAAAGATGTAGTTTTATTTTTATTTAAAAAAAATGAAAAATAAATCGGAAATCCCCAAATTCACGGGTAATGTATTTAGAGGTGTTTATTTCTTATTGGTTTTTTTCAATTTTTTTTTTTTTTTTTTTTTTTGTTTAAGGACCTTTACTAAGAAAAATTTCCTCATCGGATGAACATGAGAAGGGCCAAGAGTCTTACGGGGTAAGAGCAATAAGAAGAAATGGAGATTCTTATCCGGTAAGTAAGGATGGTGACTCTCACCCAGGTAAGCGCTTACCCAGTAAATTGTTGCATTCGATAGCTTTTGATATACTAAATTCTTACGCATCAAAATAAATGATGGTGTTGATTCATATGTATAAGCGCTTACCGAGTAAGCATTTGGCTAAACGGCCCCTAAGTTCCGAATTTTTTAAAAACTGTAAAAAGAAAAATACTCTATGTCATAGAAATTTAGCTGTTGGATGGAAGTCCACTGGCACCCCCTCGGTCTACCATTAGATTTAGAACGACTGTTGACGTTGAAACTTGACCAACCTGCTTCTTTGTGCACACACTCAATAATAGTGACGATACTGAGCAGACCGAGTTGCTAGGGAAAATGAGGGGGGACTGGTCGAAAAGGGATAAACAAAGTTAATTACTTCTAAATCAGAAAATATTTTTGAAGGATTAAGAGAAACAAAGTGTGACTCGGACGACCAGGCCCTCTATCATAAATTCTGAACTTCTCCCTTATGAAAGGACAATCAAACACCGATTGGAATTCAGCTACGCAAAATCTAAGATTTCATTCACGCAAAACGAAATCAAACAAGCTCAATATATCTTATCCGAAAGTAGGGTATGGGGGGGTTAGAGAAGAGCGTACTTATAAGCGGAAGACGAAGTTGCACGAACCTGTAGCTGGATTGAAACCTTCGCGATGGAAATTCCCTTCAAGGTGCTTGCTTCCACTGGTGGCGGGCGGGCAAAGGGTTCAAAAGACACGTAGCCGGGGGCGAGCCAGAAACTCCAAGAATTCCATTTTCCGACAAGGAATTTCGCTGCCTTATGACAGTTAGAGTTACTGCTGCCGTTTACCGGGGCATAAATATTCCATTCAAAAAATGGAAACATTTAGGATTTTCTTAGAAATCAGATAGGCCAAAAATTAGGATACATTCTGGGAAAATCAAACTTCCACCGAAGAAAAGCATAGGCTAACAGGAAAAATACAACAATGGGAAGTTCTTTTAAGAAAATATCAAACATATAATTATTTTATCTGAACGAAGAAAATAGTAAAACATGATGTTCTGAAAGCAAAAAATTTGTAGTACGTGTTGTCGATTTTAACGTCATCAAACCGTTTGACGTAGATGAAATTTTTAAGAGACTAAAGGGGCTTTCATTAAGTTATAATACAAGTTAAAATCTGCAGAGTATACACTTGTATAAGATAACTTGAACCTGGAGTCGTTGAATGTAACCGTATGGTGGGGCTCGGACAAAGATTGTCCGCATCTCTAATTTAATATCGCATGTGATTGATTACAATAAATAAAAAAATGTTCACGTATTTTCATAAAATGATGGGGTTTTTGTGTTTTTCGTAAATTGACAATAATCTCGTTTGAACTCATCCTCATACATAATCTAAGGGTCTATTTGCTCGCAACTTAATGAACTTAATACAATTGATAGCTCAATCCATCATTATTTGGTAGTGGTTTAATGATACAAAACAAGGCTTATTCGGTAATTTTTTAGGGGAAGTTTTATACAAAATTCAAGTTTTTCCCAAACGTGTCCCTCTTAATTACAAAAACGCTCCTTCCATTTATAAAAGACTCTTTCAGATTAATTCATACAGACAACTTTATTCATAAAAAACTTAATAAAAAATCAAACAGAAAGAATTGTTGCATAATATGTGGAAAGAGGTCAAAAAGAGAATCGGAAAACGTGGTCGGTGACGCAAAAGGCAGCCATCTTTGTCAAAAGCATTAGATTTTATTGCCGGTCGGTCGGTCTGATTCCATAATTCAGCCATCGCTCCACCACCACTTTCTCTCTTTTTTTTTTAATTATTATTTCCATTTTAAAAGAAAATTAAGTTTTTAAAATTTCCTTTTTTTAAAAATATAAAATCTGGGGGAAGAAGTCCCTCGATATGATTTATATGAGAAAAAGTAATTTAAAATATGAGAATCTTTAAATTGTGAGATTTCTAAAAACCAGTGAATCATGTGTTATTTCATTTGATTTATTTTCGTTTATGACTAGAATTTAATATGATAAATAATACACGTGAAAAAACTTCATATTGTGAACTGAATACGTAAGAAACAAATACATTATGGAAAAATATATGTTAATCAATACATTAAATATTATACTTAAATGACATTATCTGAAACAAAAATTTAAGGTAAAAGTTATCACATATCTCAATTTTAAAGTCCTTAAATGATTAAACAACATATATATACATATATATATATACACACACACACATATATATATATATATATATATGGGTGAATTTATTTGTTAACTTAATATATGGTGTTAACTTTACAAACCATTATTCATCAATCAGAATCAAGATATATTTGTGGTTTATTCACATGATGTTGGTATTTAATGAGGGTAAGAATGTAATTCTCAATTTGATCTATCTGTTAATGCATAATATTAATTGTCGGTTACAGTTCTTAATTACTCCATGATTGTAGCCATTGTTATTATTATGTGATAGATGAACATCCATCTGACCAAATTAAGAATTTGGGTTGGTTTTCAAGACTATCACATGAATGTACACATGAATTAACATTTGATGAACATACAGTGCACACATGAATGAACAATTTCTATCTTGTCCATAAGCAAACAACACGATGACCACTTATTAAGGGTTCACTGTGAATTGATTGATCAATGTTCATAAACGAATTGGTGAACAATGTTCACAAGTGTTCACCAGTCACACATATATACACATTCATGTATATATATATATTATTCATTTTAAAAAATTAGGGTAATAAGGAAAAGGGAATTCAGGCAGAATGAAAAGGTCTGTTCCATGAAGCAAAGCATTCATTTTAATATTTTCATAATAAAAAATCAAAAAGTTGATTCTTTTCTAACATATTACTCCACATCATACACATTTATTTTAAAACCCTATTTTTCATACTATAAAATAATTATATTTATATAAAACAGATTGGGTTCACGTGAGATCAAAAGTTTTTCATGAGATCCTTAAAACCAATTTATGTTCATTGATCAACTTTATAACCTAATGATCTAATGGTCTAAAGTTGCACGATGACAATTTTGTTCTTATTGAAAAGTCTCGTGACAATTTTGTAATTATGAATGTTCAGATTGTAGATCTAATCCAAGGGTTGATAATTTGTCTTAAGGGTCTCACGAAAAACCCTTGATCTCACATGATCCCAAGTTTATATAAAACACTGTAAATTTTATTTTAATCCACTTAACTTCTTTATCTTATTCTTAAAAAACATTTTTAGGAATTTAATTCATAGTTAAACATTTTTGTTAGAGTTCGTTTATTGACAGCTTAATGAGATTTATAGCTTATTTGATTAGTTATATATTATTGTTTGATAGCATCTTAACAATATAGAGAGTGACTTTATCAGTAAATTTTTAGTAGGCAGTTTTATGCAGAAAATCAATTTTTTTCTCAAACATGTCCCTTTTACTTTAAAAAAACCCCGTTCACTCTATTTGTAAATAATCTCTCCCAAACAAAAAGCTTCTCAATCTATACAGATAGATTAATCTACATTAATTTCATCGAAAACAACAACGAATGAAAACATTTCTTGAATTGAAAGTATGCGTACAAAATAAACAACGAACAAAGTTATGAGTATCTTTAGTTTTAGTATAAAATCTAGTCAACAATTATGCAACTCATATTATATACAAAGTAATTAAGCCACTATAGAAAGAAATATCAGCTGTAGCTATTTTTTATTTCTCTGACAGCTTTTTTAAAATGGAGAAAATAAGGATTTTGAGCTGATATTTTGTTTTATATAGCTTTTTTAAAACTATTTTTAAAATGAAGAAAGTAAGAGAAAACCTAAAAAATATTACCAAGTGAGATCATCAATAAGAAACTTTGAAAATGAATATTTAAAAAGAAAAATAATATTGTTGAATTTTTCAAAATTTATTATAATATTTGATTATTTTCTTTTGTTAATTAAAAGATAACATTACTCTGAACTAATGTATTTTGTTATCAACTTTTAATTATTTGGGAACTAAAGGATGATACTTGATTGGTTTGAACTTGACTCCAAAGGTCAAAAGTACTTGTAGGTCCCAGGTTCAAATCCAATAAGGAATAAAAATATTCTTGTGACTGCGAGAGGCTATGATCGGAGTGATGCATTAAGTGCGAGGTGTTTGAATTATGTAGAATTTTGAAACGGTAAAACCGATTTAAGTTTTTATCATTTAAAATAAAAGATTTAATAATTTAATGACTTAAAAATAAAAAAGGGGTTTTTTTAAATTTTTTTCTCAGAAAATATTATCAAGATTATGATTTAATTAATATTAGAAGAGTATTCGAGCAATGCAGCGAGACACATCTCGATTTTAATGTTTTATTTTATTATTTGTCTATGTTGATATTATAATACAATTTTATGTGTTTTTAAGAAAGACATAATGATTTTATTTTTGAATAAAATATAAATTTGAAGATATGATAAAAAAATTTAAAAATTATATATCAATGATAATATCTAATCAAATATTTAAAAGTTCTCATTTTTATGTAATTTTATTTATTTATTATAATTTAATTTAAGTTTAATAACGAAATAATTTATTTTTGATTTAATAATATAATATTTTATAAAGATAATAATTAAATATTATGTTAGAATTCAATAATTATCCTAATTATATTTTAGATTTTTTATATTTAAAATAAGATGTTTATCATGTATTTGATTATGTTTATCTGTAGTTAGTTATACGAATTCAGATATGGAGCTTTAATAAGTTGTATTTATACACAATCTATTTGTAATATTGAGTTTTAAGTAATATGAATTAATAAACAGTAATTCAAGCATAAAAATTGGTTTTTAAAAGTATTGTTAAATGCTTTCTGATACAGTAGAGATGTGTGTTGCGATTAAGAAACAAAAAGCAGTAAAGCTGGAGATTTGAAAAAGCAAAAAGATGATGATTTCCCTCCATTAATAACAAAAAAGAAGTAAAGATTGCATGAAATTGTGCTTCCACATGAAGGTAACCACCGCCTTTTTCTTATCGTCTTCCACACAAGAACTCCACTATCACTCCTGATCTCGATCTCGATCTCTTTAACCAAAACCCACATCGGAATTCTGTAATTTTTCCACCCAAAATGTGATTTTAATCCGCCATTTTACAAAAGATCGCTCTGTTTCTTCAAACCTTCATCAATGGCGGCCGTTCGGAAGCTAATCGTAGAAGTAGTTGACGCCCGGAATCTTGTCCCCAAAGATGGCCATGGAACGTCGAGTCCCTACGTGATTGTTGATTTCTACGGCCAGCGGCGGAAGACCCGGATCGTGGCTAGGGATTTGAACCCGGTTTGGAATGAGACTCTGGAGTTTAACGTCGGAAAACCGTCGGATGTGTTCGGGGACATGCTTGAAGTTGATGTTAATCATGATCGGAATCTTGGTCCGACGACCAGAAATAATTTTCTCGGCAGAGTCCGGCTGAATTCACGCCAGTTTGTGAAGAAAGGGGAGGAGGCTTTGATTTATTATCCTTTGGAGAAGAAGCATTTGTTTAGTTGGATTCAAGGCGAGATTGGATTAAAAATCTACTTTGTTGATGAAGTTGCTCCGAATCCGGCGCCGCCGTCTCCTCCACCGTCTGAGGAGGTGAAGGCTGAGCCAAAGTCGCCGGAGGAAGTACCTGATAACCAGCCCAAAGCCAAGGAAGAAGCAACGTCAGAAGCTCCACCTTTAACGAAGAAAGATAAACCGAATGAAGAACCGGCGCCGGAGCCGGAGGTGGCACCGCCGTTGGAAGCTTCCGGTCAAGATGGTGAAGTTTCAGATGAAGGTCTTGAACCAGTACAATCAAGTACTCCAGTGAAGCAAGAGCGATTTGATTATGGTCAGTTAATGACATCAAGATCGATGCCGGAGATCAGACTCGGTGGCGAGATTCCGGTCGGTCCACAGCCGATTCCTCGAGCTTCATCGATTAGCAGCTTCACGACGGATGTGTCTGATCGGTTTCCGATCGAACGGTCATCATTCGATCTCGTGGAGAAAATGCATTATCTTTTTGTTCGGGTAGTTAAAGCTCGGTCATTACCCACCCCCGGCAACCCGGTGACTAAGATCGTGGTTTCCGGTTGCCAGGTCATCTCGAAACCCGCTCGAAAAACCATGTACTTTGAGTGGGACCAGACATTTGCTTTCCGACGGGACTCACACGACTCGACGGCGATTCTCGAAGTTTCTGTGTGGGACCCACTTGTCTCGAGCTCGATGTCGGATGTGGCAGGGCATAACTTCCTAGGTGGGATATGCTTCGATGCCACGGAGATCCCATTGCGAGACCCACCTGATAGCCCGTTGGCCCCACAATGGTACAGGCTAGAAGGAGGTGGAGCTCACAAAGGAGATCTCATGTTGGCCACATGGGTCGGGACCCAGGCTGATGAGTCGTTTCCAGAAGCATGGAAAACCGACACGGCGGGTAACCCTGGATCCCGATCCAAAATTTACCAGTCTCCGAAGTTATGGTATCTACGTGCGGTGATCATCGAAGCTCAGGACGTTTCCCTCTCATCATCGTTCCAGATCAAAGCCCAATTCGGGTTTCAAGTACAAAAGACAAAATCCATCGTCACTCGTAACGGATCTTCGTCTTGGAACGAAGACTTGATGTTTGTAGTGGCTGAGCCGTTCACCGACCAACCTTTGTTGTTGTTTCTAGTCGAACAACGGGGGCCCAAAGAATCCACTGTTGTTGGAGTTGCCAGCATACCTTTAGCTTCGATCGAGCGTCGCGTAGACGATAGAGTGGTGGTCTCGAGATGGTTAACCTTCGAAGATCCAAACAAAGAAAAGCGCGTTTATCGGGGTCGGGTCCAACTCAAAGTATTTTTCGATGGCGGATACCATGTGATGGACGAAGCCGCACACGTTTGCAGTGATTATCGACCCACCGCAAAACAACTTTGGAAACCCCCGATCGGCACGGTTGAGTTAGGGATCATCGGATGCAAGAATTTGCTACCGATGAAATCGATCAACGGCAAGGGATCGACAGACGCTTATGCCGTGGCAAAGTACGGTAACAAATGGGTTCGGACACGAGCAATATCTGATAACCTAGATCCAAAATGGAACGAGCAATACACATGGAGAGTTTATGATCCATCCACGGTTTTAACAATTGGAGTTTTCGATAGCTGGGAAGCGTTTGGATCTGACGGCCAGAAAGAGTCCACGAGGTTGGATTTCCGTATGGGAAAAGTGCGTATACGTATATCGAATTTAGAGATGGGAAAGGTATACAACAACGTGTATCCGCTAATGTTATTGAACGGTGCCGGTCTCAAGAAAATGGGTGAACTGGAGGTGGCCGTGCGATTTGTGCGTATGGCACCACGGCTCGATTTTTTGAACGTATACGCACAACCTTTGTTGCCGATAATGCACCATATAAAGCCAATCGGTGTGGTGCAACAAGAGGTTCTTAGAACGACCGCGGTTAAGGTCATCGCGGCTCATTTGGCACGGTCCGAACCACCTCTTCGTCGTGAAGTGGTGACCTACATGCTAGATGCGGATACGCACACATTTAGCATGAGGAAAGTGCGCGCCAATTGGTTACGGATAATCAACGTGTTATCCGGGGTCATCGACATGGTGAAATGGTTCAACGACACCCGGTCATGGAAGAATCCAACGGCTACGGTGTTGGTTCACGTACTCCTCGTGATGCTAGTGTGGTTCCCGGACCTAATCATCCCCACGCTGGCGTTTTACGTGTTCGTAGTCGGGGTGTGGAACTACCGTTTCCGGTCTCGGTCCGCTCCACCGCACTTCGATCCGAAGCTCTCCTTAGCCGAGACGATCGACGGTAATGAGCTCGACGAGGAGTTCGATACGGTGCCATGTACGAGATCGAACGAAACGGTGCGAGCAAGATACGACAAGCTACGTATGCTCGGTGCACGAGTGCAAAGCGTGTTGGGAGATATCGCGACACAAGGCGAACGGGCGCAGGCGTTGGTGACGTGGCGGGACCCACATGCCACGGTGATCTTTGTGGGGTTATGTCTGTTAGTGGCAATCATATTGTACCTCGTACCATCAAAGATGGTGGCAATGACATTCGGATTTTATTATATGCGGCATCCGATCTTTAGAGATAGGATGCCGTCCCCGGCATTGAACTTTTTCCGAAGACTGCCATCGTTGTCAGATCGGGTGCTTTAGATTCAATCATTTCAACCGAACAAAACAGCATTTGTTCGTGTAAATGAGTGAGATATGTATTGTGTTCGATATAACTTATAAAAGTTATATAATTATTAGTGTTTGTACCAAATGCAATCGAGTTTTTACGTTATATTTTTAAATTAAATTAAGATCAATATACTGTCTATACTATATTATAAAACATTTGACAAAAACTCTTAAAAACTATTTTTTATGCGTAAAGTATTGTTTAATAATGCATATTACTTAAAACTCAAGACTGTAAGTCGATTCTGTGTAAGTACAACTTACTAAAGCTCCATATCTGAATTCGTGTAGCTAACTACAGATAAACATAATCAAATACGCGATAAACATCTCATTTTAAAAATAAAAAATCTAATATATAATTAAGATAATCTAACAGAATACTTAATTATTATCTTTATAAAATATTATATTATTAAACCAAAAATATATTATTTCGTTATTAAACTTAAACTAAATTGTAATAAAAAAATTAAAGAAAATTACATAAAAAATGGGAACTTTTAAATAGTTGATTTGATATTAACATTGATATATATTTTTTTAATTTTTTATAATATCTTTAAATTTATATTTTATTCAAAAATAAAATTATTATTGCTTTCTTAAAAAGATATACAATCGTATTATAACATCGACAAAGACAAATAATAAAATAGAACATTAAAATCGAGATGTTTCTCGCTACTATTTTAGTTTTAATTAAATGATAAAAAAATTACATCATATATGATTTCAAATCATTACATCGTCGTATCTTGAACTTGACTGAAAAATATATAATCGAGGAGTGAATTACATTTTCACCCCTATTGTTTGTCAAAAACTACGATTTTTGTCCCTATTGTTTTAAAATTAAGATTTTTGACTTTTTATCTGTTTATAATTCATTATTTTCGTCTCTAAGTTTAAAACCTCTGTTTAAGTGTGAGGGGTTAAAAAATTAAATTATTGTAAACCACATAGATAAAAATAAAAATGAATTATAAATTATAAAGACGAAAATAACAACATATTGTAAATAAAAAATTGTAATTTTAAAAACATAGAAGCCAAAATAGCAAATTATAATAAACCATAAGGACTAAATAGGTAATTTACTCGATTGAGAATCAAGCAATTGGATCAAATTTACATGACACCGTTGTTCATATAAAAATTGGGGAAAAAATTGGTTTATAATCAGTAACCGAGTATCATGTGAGAGAAAAATAATATACATAACAGTTTAATAAGCAGTTGGCTTAAAATAATAGTGCCCATAAGCAGTCGAGTCGAAAAGAATTATAACTCTCACGTTGTGACTGTCAATCATACCTATATTTGCAAGTATATCACCTTAGGGCGGACCTATAGTGGTGCACACGGTGGCACGTGCCACCGTATTATTCTTCCGTTGAAAAGTAAAAAAAATTAGGTTTGTGAAATATGCATCCGTATTAATTTGTTTTGTGTCACCGTATGTATTTTGAAACTACAATGAGAACAAGTTTTATTTGGTAAAGTAGTTTGCAAGGCTTTTATTTCATCCCGGACCCAAGTTCGAATCATGTTAATGTCATTTTTTAGTCAAATGGTCCCACCGTTTGAAAACTTTTTCTATATTTTTTTCTTATAGTCAAATGGTGCCACTATTTGGAGAAAAAAAATTGGGTATGTTCCTGTATCACCCCATAATCAGTATGTAGTTTCAAATTTGATAGTAATATTTTGGTATAAATATATTTGTTGATTTTATTTTTGTTTTTGAATAAATATAAATTATTATATTTTTAACCAATTGGTTAGCAGGGTTTTTTAAAATTTACCTGTTTATATAAATTAAATATCTTTACAAATATTGGTTTGAGTTTGGCTCAAAAGATCAAAAATACCAGAAGGTCTTAAGTTCAAATTTAAGGAGGAATAAAATCCTCTTGTAGTTACGGAGGTTCAAATACGGTGACTTTGTGCTATCTGCAAAACATATGATCGTCCTGGAATTAGTCGGCTCGTATAACGAATTGGATATCCAGATTAATAAAAAAAATATTTTTTCACGAAGATTATAAATTAATTAAAATAAAACAAGAAAAATAAAAATACCTCGAAAGAGTAAAAAGTGAACTGAAGTTATGGAACATATGCCAACCAATCAAGTTTGTCGTTATGGTTAACACGTTTCTCAATTTTGACAAAAATAAATTATTTTATTATTATATTATATATATATATATATATATATATATATCTGATTTTATTTATAAACTCAATCATTCATCTAGTCTAATAAATATCTGATTTAATAAATATCTCAATTATTTTTTAATATAAATAAGCTCTCAAAATCTTCTATAAATAATTTATAATAAAAAGATGATACGATTACAGGTAAAAAGATGCTCATTTATTACTAGTTGTTGAAAGCATGCTTTCAACAAAATTTGTTCGCAAACCACACGGATGTTGTCTGATTGGTTTGAGTTTGGCTTTAAAAGTCAAAAGTACTTGAAGGTCTCAGGTTCAAATCCAAGGAGGAATAAAAATCCCCTTGTGGCCACGGAGGTTCAAATGCGGTGACTCCGGACTATCTGCAAAGCAGGTGTCGCTATGGGATTAGTCGGCTCGCATAGCGGGTTGGATATCCAGGTTAATAAAAAAAAACAGAATTTGTTCACGTTTTCAATCATAGAATACCTGCAAATTGTAATGAAAGAAATCTCCTACAAATATCCATCCTTCTCTCTCTGAATCCCTGCAAGTATTTTTCAAGTTTCTCTGCAAATTTGAACATTTATCTGCCAGAAAAAAAAACTCCATTGTTAATCTGGTAGCTAAACTATGAGCTCAAATCTAGTTTGAATCTTGCATTTTGTCAAAAGCTCGAGCCACCGAAACAGTTTCTGAACCCTTGAGCCTTGGTGCACCAGGCTAGAATGATAGTGGAGCCCTTGGACCCTTAAAATACAAGGGCTGCATCCATTTAGGAACCAGAGCTGGAACCAGAGCCACCCCACGAGATTTCCTCTGTTTCTTGGTTTCTATAGTTAATCTCATAAATTTTCTGCCTGCAACTTTTTGACCATTCTGTTTGTGTGTGTGTGTGTAAATATATATATATAGAAATTAAACATTTTGCGAGAAGTCCCAATATCATATATGATTACACTTGCAAAATGCTTAAGTTTGTGTATAATGCGTGTAATCATGTATGATATTGAAACTTCTCGCCTTGTCGCAAAATGTTTAACTTCTTGTTTGAACTTGCCCATATATATATATATATATATATTCTATAACAATTCAGTCATCTAGAACCCACCTCAAAATTCAAAGTTTTGAACTTTATTGATAAATCATGTGAACAAAATGCTAAAAATGTCTTTGGGTGTTATTTATATTTTTCTAACAAAATAATTATGAATCTTGGATACGCACCAACTCTTTTGTCTGCTTTGACCTGATTGACATTCTGTTTTCCTATAATTGTAGAAGTGTTCTCATTGGAGCTCCATTGCTGCAAAACTTACTCTCATGGGAGCCAAGAATATGAGGAAATTTTGGGTTTTCTTGATGATGGTCATGTGGTGCTGGGCTTCAATGGCTGAAGCAGAGTATATGCCATACAAAGATCCGAAACAACCGCTAGGTGCTCGAATAAATGACTTAATGAAGAGGATGACACTTGAGGAAAAGATTGGCCAAATGACTCAAATCGAAAGATCAGTTGCATCCAATGAGGTTATAAAGAAGTATCTGATAGGTATACAAATCATTCAAAAACCTGAATTATAATACAGGTTTCATTTCTATGATCAAATATCACTTCTTGTGATTTCAGGGAGTGTGTTGAGTGGAGGAGGAAGTGTTCCATCTAAAGAGGCAACTCCTGAGACATGGGTTGATATGGTTAATGATTTCCAAAAGGGTTCGTTATCAACACGTTTAGGGATACCGTTGATTTATGGGATTGATGCTGTCCATGGCCATAATAATGTTTATAAAGCTACAATCTTTCCTCATAATGTTGGTCTTGGAGTTACCAGGCAAGAACATGTAAATCTTATCTTATATCGTGGCAGGTTTAAATGAGAACCATAAATATTTTGAGAACCTGAAAACCAACTATTCATTTTTTTATTTGTTCACGATGAAAATGCATGATTCCAGGAATAGTGAAAATGCTGATATTCATGAATATTTAGGGTTATTTATCATGAATAATACATGAAATAGTTGGTTCATGGGTTCTCAAAATATTAATGTTTCTCATTTGAACTTCCCCATCATATATCAATAGAAAACTCCATCCTAAATCGGTCAGATTGGCGATTGATTGTATCTATATGCACATGCGAATAGGGATCCTGTTCTAGTAAAGAAGATTGGGGCTGCTACAGCACTTGAAGTTAGAGCCACCGGCATACAATATGCTTTTGCACCTTGTATTGCAGTAAGTAGATAAATTCATGCATTACTATTTACTACTGCCAAAATTGCTGTTAATTTAATCTCTATATTCATTATGACTTCCACTTAAACAGGTATGTAGAGATCCCAGATGGGGTCGTTGTTTTGAAAGCTACAGTGAAGATCCCAAAATCGTTAGACAAATGACTGAGATCATACCAGGTTTACAAGGAGAAATCCCTTCTGGTTCGGAAAAGGGTGCTCCTTTCGTCCAAGGGCAGTAAGTAATAACATATGTTTATCATATTCTTGAATCGGGTTATCGGTTTCCATTTGATTTTAGATAAAATAACATACGATAAGGGGTTGCTGACATGATTATTGGTTTTTTATTGTTCTTCATTAAAGAGATCTAACTAAACTTGTTTTAATGGATAGTTTTGACTTCTAGTGTAGGCAGGTTGTCTATTTGTGTTTGGTTTAGATCTTATTTGGCATGGATCGTGGGTTCCACTTACTAGAAATTAAAAATCAGAAGATCTAATCTAACAGATACCTGTATCTTTCCAATATTTAAATTTAAACCCTTCTTACATTCATGTGAAATCTACAAACTCTTTAATTTGACACTAATATATATAGGGTCAGATTCAGAGAAAAACCACAAGAAAATGAAAAACTGAAGAACATTCTGGTAACCATTCATCTAGATGGTAGGTACATATGCATACAAGTAATATGTAAGCAATTTGTCCAGTATACACATGTGCATAAAATGCACACGTGCATAAAAACCAAATAACAACTTTAATTACTTGTATGTACATGTGCATAAGAATGGTTCCCAGGGGGTTCTTCAGTTTTCCCTTGTTTGGGGTTTATTGGGCCTTCAAATTAGCAAGACATGTTCAACCACCACTTCTATATTTTATTCAAACTTTCAGATTTTCCTTTCTAATAAGCATTGATTTTCCATTACCTGTTTACAATAAAATCTTGCATCCCGCTACATCGCAGGGGTACACAATTAGTTACTAGGAAATATGTATTTGGGCCATGAGATTTATTGCACTTATGTTTTCACAGACAAAAGGTTGCAGCCTGTGCTAAGCACTATGTGGGAGATGGAGGAACTCACCTAGGCACAAATGAAGGCAACACAATAATAGACAGTAAAAGATTCTACAGCATACATATGCCAGCATACAATGATTCAATCATTAAGGGTGTGGCTACTATTATGACCTCCTACTCTAGCTGGAATGGGGTTAAAATGCATGCTAACCGTAATCTTGTTGCTGACTACCTCAAGAACAAGCTCAATTTCAAAGTATATTCACTCACCCAGTTGAATTTACACCTTTCTTGCAGAAAATTGACAGAACTGAACAACTAAGATGAATTTTGAACTGTTTTTACGTCAGGGATTTGTGATATCAGATTGGCAGGGTATTGACAGGATCACCACTCCTGCACATGCTAATTACACCTTCTCCATACTAGCTGGAATGAATGCTGGCATTGACATGGTTTGTTTCTCGTATCATTTATTATTCCTGCTTATAATATTCCTAATAACTGTATTATTGATGGTATACTGCAGTTCATGGTCCCATTAAAATACACAGAGTTTATCGATGGTTTGACACACCTGGTAGAACATAAGTTTATACCCATGAGCCGAGTTGATGATGCAGTTGAGCGGATTCTAAGGGTGAAGTTTACAATGGGTCTGTTTGAAACCCCATTGGCTGATTACAGCATGGCCAAGTACTTGGGATGTCAGGTAGCTAAGTCAAAATTGTTTTGGGTTTGACTATGATTGAGAACATCTTATTCATGGTGTGAACAAGATGGCAGTCTTGATTTACCTTATAAACTCCAATGACAACAGGAACACAGAGATCTAGCCAGGGAAGCAGTGAGGAAAACACTTGTGTTACTGAAGAATGGTAAACCTTCAATGCAGCCATTACTACCACTTCCTAAGAAGACATCAAAGATACTAGTTGCAGGATCCCATGCTAACAATATTGGCTATCAATGTGGCGGGTGGACAATTGAGTGGCAAGGACTTTCAGGCAACGTCACTGCTGGTATGGATGTTAAAATCACCTAAAGTACAAAACTGTTAAAATCATTAATTTAAAGTTAAAGAGGGAAAATATGGAAGAGAGATATATGAGTACAAGAAAGATTCATTTAGGAACCATGAATATTTTGATAATTGTGAAAACCAACTATTTATGATGAATATAGATGAAAGTTCAAGAAATATAATTCATCATGAATATTCTGTTCATCACGAATAGTTGGTTCTCAAATGTGGAAAGATATACGAGTACAAGGAAAGTTAATTTAGGAATCATAAAATTTTGACAATCATGAGAACCAACTATTTATGATGAATATACATAAATATTCATGAATATCATGCATTTTCATCCATGAATAGTTGTCTCCTATGAGTACAAGACAACTGGTCCAGAAAGTGTGTTGATGCAGCTTAGGGGATGTTTAATTGGTTTTGCATTAAGTCATGCACGGATATGGCTGTCTGTGCAGATTAATTTGTCTGATCTGGAAGGTTTTTGTTTGAAAGGGTATTTTCATAGATTGAAGGGGCATGTTTTTTAATTGGGAGGGGCAAGTATGGAAAAAACTTGGCTTTCTGAATAAAGCTCCCTTAAAAGCATATACTGAATAAGTCACTTTCTATATGATTAATCCCCTAGTAAACAATCATGTATAGCTGACCAAATATGTTGCGAGTCCCATTGAGATCATTAAGCTGCTAACAAACAAGCCCTTGGTAAGCCCTACATGCACACCTTTTGTGAATGCGAACATATCAACTCCCTCTTATACTTGAACTAAACCTCTGATTCTACAGGTACTACCATCCTCTCTGCTGTGGAAAGTACTGTTGATCCAAACACTCAAGTAGTCTACAACGAGAATCCCAACAAAGATTTTCTCAAATCAAACACATTCGACTATGCTATAGTGGTGGTAGGAGAACCCCCATATGCGGAGACTTTTGGAGATAACTCAAATCTAACAATTCCAGAGCCAGGCCTAAGCACTATCAAAGATGTATGCAGCTCAGTAAAATGTGTGGTGGTCTTAATCACAGGTCGGCCAGTGGTGGTGCAGCCATTTGTTGACACAATAGATGCCCTTGTGGCTGCTTGGCTTCCAGGAACAGAAGGCCAAGGTGTCACAGATGTTCTCTTTGGTGACTATGGTTTCACAGGAAAGCTTGCTCGTACTTGGTTCAAGTCCGTTGACCAGCTACCAATGAATGTTGGAGATGCACACTATGACCCATTATACCCATTTGGGTTTGGACTGACTACAGCACCCACCAAAACTATATAAATGTAATCTTATTCTTTTCCATAATTCGGTTTTAATTGAACATGAAAATCTTGTTAGAGTGATGAGATTTTGATTATTTCAAGGGTAAGCAAAGTTGTGTATCAGTTCATCTACTAATGATATTTTAAGGGTGACGATTTTATTTATCACGATGATAAGCTTATATACATTGCAACATGCATATTTCGTACCATCCATAAACAGAAAACATAAAGGGAGAAAATGGAAAAGGTGAACAAACTTGTAAACTAAGAAGCTCTATGCTACTTCTGTTGCAGCTGCATTGGTCTCTGTGGGCTCCTTAACAACTCCATGGCTGTCCTCCTTTTCCTTTATCAGCCTCATTATTTCTACTTTTTTCTCTAGTAGAGCTTCAATTTTAGTGTTCATCTTGTCTAGTTTAAGTTTTAGCTTGTCAAGATCCTTGTATTTTGCATCGGGTTTCTTTTTATCTCCCTTATCTTTCTTGTCCTTGACTGCCTTTGTTTCCTTCTTACCAATTTTCCCCCCCTTTACTTCTGTAGCATTTTCATCTCTTTCAATCTCCCTTGATGCAACATCAGCATCACATTTTTTACCATCAGCCTCATCTTTCTTCTTATCTTTGTCATTCTCATCATCTTCTTCTACCACTTTATCCTTAACTTTCTTTTCCTTTTCCTTCTTCTCTTTCTTGTCTTTCTTCGGGGTTCCTTCTTCATCGTCTTCCTTTTCTTTCTTCTTCTTTTCTTTTTTCTTCTTATCCTCCCCCTCCTGCTTTATATCATCAGATTTGGCACATTTATCTTTCTTCTTCTTTTCTGGCTCTTTTTCCCCTTCCTCTGACTGTGCAGCAGCACCATCCTTCTTCTTGTCTTTCTTCTTTTTATCTTTCACGTCAGCATTCTTATCTTGCTCCTCCGACTCCTTTTTCTCTTTGTCTTCCTTCTCTTTTTTCTTCTTTCCCTTTCCCTCAGACTCTGTGTTCTCATCGTGCTTGCCTACCTCCTTGTCTTTCACATCCTCCTTTTTCTTTCCTTCATCCTCATCAACATTCTTCTTCTTCTTCGCTTCACCCTCATTATCTGATCCATTAGATATCTTTTTATCTTTCTCCTTGCATTGGTCATCATTATCTTCCTTATGTTTTGGCTTCTCTTTCTCAACCGATTTAATCTTCAAATCTACCACTTCCGCGACCTTCTCTCCTTTTCCTTCATTCGTCCCCTTCATCTTGCACTCAGTTTTCAAATGAAGCTCTTCCTTGACAACATGCTCAGATGTCTGATCCATCTCGAACTTAAACCTTATATCCAAGTTATCTGCAGAGAGAAATGTGGATGGTTTCAAAGCCAATAAGATAAACAGGTGAAACAGCATATGCAATAGACTATATATCAAACAATTGTAATCAAAAGCATCAAGATCACCAAATTTACCAGAAATGACTTCACAATGGAATGATTACTACTGCTTCACCAAGTTTTATGGTATAGTTGTTGGTCTCAACAAGCATTTAAAACTCCATTACACATTGAAGGATTTCAAACTTGATTTCCAGTCCACATATCATGCTATAAATATTATGAACAATCTAAGTGCTCATTCTAGAATCCCTTATAGGGACAGTTCCAAAAGATGAGAACCATTTCCAATAATGTGTTGCCGATCCACTTTCGAAAATTAAGACCATAACAAAATTAGAAACTGGGGTTCACTGAGCTTGAGCTACACTTTGACTTTGAATGTTGAGCATGTCAAACAGATTCAAGTTTTTTTTCTCTCAAAGTTGTTTGAGATGTTATATTCCATATAGATTTTAAGAATCTTGTTGATCTCTTACTTTTCAACTTCAAAGCTGATAAAAATTACAACTTTCTGAGAGAATTTGGTTAGCTAGAACTTCATAACAAAGAGTTTCGAATGGAATAGATGCTACCCAACTTGGAAAAGAACAAAATCGTACCAAGTTCGAATTTGAAACGAACTAAGGTTTCCCACCCAAATTGAATTGAAGCAAGCAACATGCGGAAAGTAAAGTAACCCACATGGCAGGCATATTATCAAACAGTTGGCGATGAAATAAAAGATTGGAAAATATACATAAGAAAACCGAAATCACATGATCACCGAAGAAACAAGTAACAACCAACATCAAGAATCAATCATATAAACAAAAATAAAAAAGGAACCCAGCTGAAGAATTCCCAAAAAAGAAGACGCTTATACAAACTTACCTCGATAATCAATCTTTGTTGGGGTTTCCACCGTCTTTATGAATCTTACTGAGGATGTATGCATCATATCTTATTTATAGCCATTTATATGAACAACTGTTCCATCGAAACAGATACGGAATCAACGCGGGGTTTAATTGGGAATGGAAAATCGATGATGTAACGCGCTAACGAAAGGATTTCTTGTTTGTATCTAAAGTTATTGCTTCGGAGTCAGGAAAGGGGCTATGAATACTTCGTACCTAAGGAACTCTCTTTTGGTTCCAAAGTCAAATGACTCAAATCAACCTTCACTAGAAATGCAGACAGTCCCATGAAAGCTGGATCACTTCTATTTTTTTCGAGCTCCGGTTAGAACTTATCTTTAAAGAGCAATAAATCGCGAAAATTCAGGAAAGTCCAAGGTGAAAAAGGCCGATTGAGCGATCTTTCAACCAAAAAGCTCTATTTTTAAATAGCCTTTTTTTTTTAAACCGGAAAATGAACTTGAAAACTAAACCTAAAAAAGTTTTTAGGCTTTGTTCATCTCTAGGTTCGATTGCTTTGTTTCAATTTTAGGGTCGTTTATTAAACATATACCTGGTAAGTGTTTATTGGGTAATCTTTTTCATTGGATGAATATGACAAAGGTCAAAAATCTTACTCGTAAGAACAATGATAAAGATGAAAAGTCTTATTCCGTAAGTGAGGGTGACGATTCTTACCGGGTAAGGCATTTACCGAATAAATTGTTGAAAATGATACCATTTTGATGTACTACAATCATACCTGATAAAATAAATTACAGTGTTGATTCCTAACGGTAAGCGTTTACTAGATAAGCATTTAAGTAAACAGCCGGTTTTTTTTATGAAAATAAATTTAAAATTAAAACCTTGTCAAAGGTAAAAAAGCGATAGTCGGACAAAATAAATTTTCTCTATATGGTGAACAAAACCGTTTACATCTAAAGATTCTGGTAAAAAAGTAAGGCATGTTACATTAAGGTTTTTTAATTTTTTTAAAAAAATAAGTAAATTACGGATTTGGTCCATATAATTTACAGTTTCTATCTACAGTGGTTCCAAAATCAAAATAAATACAGATTCGATACCTCTAGAACTTATTTCTGCACTCATTAAGTGTCTCCCTCTAATGGATGTCAAAAAAAGCTGTTAAGTCCAAGGGTAATCTTGTCTTTTCTTATTTCTCTTAATTATTTTTTAAAGGATTAAAAAACTTATATACTGCTTTTATTATATCATATTTTATATATGATATTTAATATACATTAAACATAAACACACAACACTTCTTTATTTATCATTAATTATAGTATTAAAAGAAATTAATGAATTTTTGACAAACTTCTAAATTATTTTTTATAAAATGATACTTTTTGGTTAAAAGTATTTGGAAAAAAAAAACGATTAAAAAAATCATGTATTTTTGTGTCCTAATTTTGTCAAGTACTCCAATATTTACAAATATTAAACTATTTGTTTTATAATTTTTAATTGTAATTTATTGATTTATAAAATTAAAAAAATTACTACTGTTGACGTGTTAAATTGAAATATGGAGACATTATTTGGTGAGCAATAAGCAATCGGAGGATGAATGGATGATGGGTAATCACGTAATTTGGTGGGATGACATTAGTGTTGGGTGGGACCCATTAAGAGCATTCGAATCGCACCGTAAAAACCTAAATTTGACGTTTTATTCTCTTCAATCAAACAGTAAAACAGTATAAATAATTTGCCCGTCATAGATAGAGAAATTGATCCGACCTTCATATTTGAAGGTCTACTGACTACAAAAACAGATTTAGATAAAATCTAGGGCCTATCGTGATAACTTGATTTTGTTATTTATTTAATTCTTAAATACAATTTGGCGTCTTTTATAATAGGTTTCAGGCCAGGTCGGACCTTGAATTTTCATAAAAATTGTAACTTGTCTCACACCGTCGGTTCTTAACCGGTCCTTATCGATCTCGGTCCTAAGTCGGTCTAGGTTGGGCCTAGTCCATTTTGGCCATCTTTAGTGCCAACGTCAAATTGCCATCTTTGACTAGAACTGCACCCACAACCCGAAAAAGCCTAGCGCTAGCCCAAACCCAGGTCCAGTTTTAAAGTCTGATCATGTAAACTTTTTTCTAAGACCTGGTCAAAAAAGTCGATTAATTTTGAAAAACTTGAAAAGTCCAGACTAAAAAGCATGATCAACCCAAAATACCTTAGGCTATTTTTACTGAAAATGGGGTTTGAAAGACCGAAATCCCAATAGGGGGGGTGGGATCTAGACTTTGTTCATTTTTAAGAGTCTGTTTGTTAGCAGCTTAATGATACTTACAACTTATTCGGTCATTTATACATGACTGTCTGGTAGTGACTTATTCAATAAGTTTATATGGGAAACTTTATATAAAAAGTCAGTTTTTTCAAACATGTCTCTCTTAACTAAAAAAATATGTTCATTACAATTATGAAAAAACTTTCTCAATTTATACAGAGAGAATAGTCCATACAGACAATTTTACTTAATAGAAAACTAACGAAAAAAACACGAGCATCTTCATTTTCTGATGATTTTTAAAAACCCCATAAAATTAGTAAAATAAATAATTGCGGGGGAAATAAAAAATTTCTATTATTCTGAAATAAACTTGGTAACGTTAATTATATATCTACAAAACAAATACATTTTGTCACGTATTTATAAAATATTAAATTATTTGTTTTTAAAATTTGAATTATTATTTATTTATTTATAAAATAATATAAAATAATAATAAAAAATCTACTTGTTTTGACTTCTTGAATTGAAATAATGGGGGTGTATTATTTGGTGAGCGATAAAGCCAATTGGAGGATGATGGGTAATTATGTAATTTGGTAAGATGGCATTGGTGTTGGTGGGACCCACTAAAGAAGCATTCCATGGAAGAACATGCCCACAACTTATACGTGACTTACGCGCCCATGTTGTTTCAACTAGAGAATTTGAAAAAGTTTGAAACTTAACGTAAGATTAAGTTGACGTTTGTGTTTTAAGAGGTGCTGATATAAAAGGTGGTGTTGACGTTTGAAATCTGAATGAATAAGACTGTTTGTTTTTGTAAACTGATAAATGTCTGAATTTGTTTAAATTGTCTATTTTACTCGTTATGAAATTGTATTGTTGAATTTATAAAAAATTTTATATAATTTCACATATTTATTCACCATCATTACGAATTTTACATCTAAATTATATAATTAACATTCATTTAAACGAAAATATGTCGTTAACGTATTTAACACATTTGAATTCTATTAAAATACATCAATTGTGAGACGTGAGGTCAGTTTGGTCATTGTCCATTTTTAGTTTTCATGTTGTGTTAAAAACTTTGGTTTTCTTTCATCAGTTTTGTTTATTATGAATCTTTTCCTGCTGTTTGCATTTTGTTATGGTTTTCATCCTCTTTTTTCGCATTTGTGCAATGTGAGGTTAGTTTGGTCATTGTCCATTTTCTGTTAAAGAGTAACTTTAAATGTTCAGTGATGTTTAGGTTAGGTGTAAGAGATATTGGGTCATGGCAACAATACTATCAAGTGGGACACTGAGGAGATGCACAGATTTAATACACGTATCACAGTGTTACAATTATACTTTATTAAGTCAAATATTGTTAATGTATATTGTGGTCACTGTATCGGTCTATTCATATGTGACAGTCCCAGGAACATTGTGCTAGTTCAGTAATGATATACGTGTTGTATATGATTGAGAAGCATAAATCTTAAACTTTGATCACTTTTAAATCATACTGTATTCCATCGCATATGATTTGCATGTGATACTAAATCAGGGACATAGACGATCTTTGACGTGACTTAAGTTGTGGGTCAAGTCGCTCGTACACCACTATGCCATTTAACGTGTATTATCACATATGATAAGAGTGTTCTGGATGTAATACTATAATCCATCCATGTGATGCTAGATTACAGACGAATATGACATTTGGAGCAACCTATGTCGCGAAGCACGATGACCGGGTCCCTTCACGTGTATTATCACATGTGATAAGGGTGTTTTCATGTTTTCATAAAATGCAAGTGTTCTCGTTTAAACCTCCACGATTAAAATATTTTAACGTGATTGGATGGAAATAACATATATGGAAGAGTTGGATGAAGGAGAAATACGTATACACATATAGACCAAGGATATCAATGATTGTATGAAAATAAGAGTTAAGGTGAGAAATATAAGAATAAATCTGAAATTTTGACCACTTTTAATCTCACTGAAATTGATCTAATACATCTCGGTGTACCGCATTGGTGTTGAACTTCAAGTATGATCGATCCAACCCTATATATATATGGTTGAGTTCCGGTGAGAAAGAGAGTTAAGACAAAAAACGTAAGAAAAGATTTTCATCCTTGGTGTGTACATTAAGATGAGATGCACTGTATTAATCTCCATATCAAACGTAATTTTACGAGTGTGTTTGAGATTAAAGGATATTAAGGGTCTATATCATTTTTTACGCTTTTCGCATTAACTCTCATTCTCACACGATCTTTCGTCTATATATATGATATTAAAAAGAAAAGGAAAAAATATATTAAAGTATATTTAAAAAGGGTCAGATGCAGCAGAAAATGTTAACTAAATGAAATGCTGAAAAACCAAGAAAAAACAATGAAAAATATATCAACATAGATGTCAAATTACGAGAAAACATGATCGTTTTTTTTTTTTGTGTAATTTACTTCGCTTGAATTTTGTTTATTTTTGTCTTTTTAATAAAAAACGGGGGTGGGGGAAGGCGAGGTTTTTAATTTAAAAATATTGTTGTAACCAAGGGTGTGTAAAACTCGAATGGTCCGATAAAACCAAATTTAAAATAAGGTGTTTATGCAAATTCCGAATACTCTGAACCTCCAACTTTTGAGGGAAATTTTGTGTTCGGGGCTGTTTACCTAAATGCTTACTGTTACGAGTCAACACTATAATTTATTTTATCGAGTAAGATTGTAGTAGATCAAAACGTATCAAATGCAACAATTTATCTGGTAAAGCGTTTACCCGGGTAAGAGTCAGCACCCTCACTTATCGGGTAAGACTCTCAATCTTTATCATCGTTCTTACCGGGTAAGATTTTTRGCCCTTGCCATGTTCATCCGGTGAGGAAAATTACCCGGTAAGTACTTACCGGGTAAACGTTTAGTAAACGGCTCCTTCGATTTTCGATCATCCGATTCGTCCGAAAACCCAAAATATATATACATATATATTATGAATATTATCATAAATATATTTATTTATCTAATTATCTTTTGAAATATTTAAAAATCCTAGTCGGTTGTGCTTTATAATTTTTAAGCATATTATTGATTTATTAATCTTTTAAATTAATTGATTTTTTTTTTATTAAACTGTATATCCAACCTGCTATGCAAATCAACTAATTTTAGGGCGACCATTTATTTTGCAGATAGCTCAAAGTCACTGCATTTGAACTTTCGTGATTATAAGAAGATTTTTATTTCTCATTAGATTTGAATCTGAAACTTCCTAATACTTTTGATATTTAGAACCAAACTTAAACCAATCAAACACCACACTTGTAGTTTGAATTTATACCTTTAAATCAATTATATGTATAACGGAAAAATCCAATTTAAAACGCAAGAAAATAAGGATAAAAAAAGTATTAATCGATAAAAAAAGCCTGTATTCACATTCTGTCACCGAACTCTCTCTCTCTCTCTCTACCCTGCTGTTTCGACACACACTCTCTCTCTCCTCGTTGTTGCTTGCTTCCATTCAGGTGTATCTCTCTCTTCTCCCTCAATAAACCCAAACCCATAACCTAAACCCGATTTAAATCCCCCAAAACTAAAAGATTCACCAAAAACCCTCATCTCCAGAAGATCTAGCTTCAACTCACCATGAATGATCTCTTATCTGTAAGTTTCCCTTAACAAATTTATTCCTTTTTCATTTCTTTGTAACGGCAAATTCGAATTTTGACCAAAATAAGCTGCATTGTTCACTGCTATAGAGATTCTCTATGATGTTACCAAGTTTTAGATTAGTGTTTTAGATCTTGTGTTGGATTTGATCTTTATTGGTGCCAAATGTTGGTGTTGAACCTTGTAATCAACTGGAAACTATGAATTCATGTATGCGTTCGAGTAGTCTCAACTGTGTAATCAATTAGTTTTATTGAACTTTAACAGATTTTAACCTATGAATTTAGCCCCATCGAAAGGAACAAAAAATGAGAGGAAAAAAAAGTATTTTTCAAGCTAAGGAGTTGGTTTTTGGTAACAGGGATAAGAATTAAAATGGATCTTTGAGTTTATTTTCGCCGTTTTCTATGATTGTGATCCTTTGACTTTGGATATCAAATTTGTATTTATCTCATTTTATAATTGATATGTATCATTTCAATATTTTACTTTCCTATTTTAGGGCAGTTTTTGTATCTCTTCATGTTGTTACTGAATTTTCATCAGAAACGAAATGCAATGAAATAAATTTTCGAATTTAAAGAAGTTCCTTTGACATTCAATTGTTTCCCAAACTGTGAAAAGGGGATCAGTGGTTGCAATAGTTACTGTTTTCAAAAGCCGGATGTATCATCATGAATGGGAGGGTTTTGAGAATTGATTTTTAACAAGCAAAATGCATTCTTAAGTTTGGGAAAAAAGGAGTATGAGATTCTGTAGTTTGTATGAGCTCAAGGTTTCAAGCTATCAATTGAACGATAACATGGCAATGATCGGGTGATGGTACAAGTTCGTTGACTTAGGAGTTTCCACTTAGCAGTGGAGGTTTTGGGACAAGTGCCTGACTAGACTGTCTGCCCCTCAGACGATGCTAATATTTTGCTACGTTTCTGTTGTTAATTAAGCAGTATATGGTAAATACCAATTGTTCAGACATAGATAGAAATCAAAATTTGAATTATTAATATAGTTCTGTCCCCGATATAACATGCTATAATGAAAGGTAATTTAAAGAAGCGAGTTCGTACTTGCTGCTTTTTATGGTCAGTTTCGGATATCCTCTGCATAGTCATTTTTTCATGACATTTCATTGATCTTATTAGATGCTGCTGCAAATGATGGTTGTGGTCTGTTCTCAAGAACTGAAATCTGAAATTGTTTTCCAATATTTTATAGTCTGGGAATTCTCTTATTCGGCCTTCAACTGTTTGTGGGGGAGGATATATAGGGGCAGGTTCAAACGAGAAGCTAAACATTTTGCGAGAAGGCGAGAAGTTTCAATATCATATATGATTACACGCATAATACACAAGCTTAAATCATATATGATTTAACACATGTTGCATTGACAACACCTAGACGCTTAATCATACATGATTAAACACACCCAAAGGAGTGTAATCGTATATGATATTAAAACTTCTCGCATTCACGCAAAATGTTTAACTTCTCGCATGATCCTTCCTCTCTCTCTCTCTCTCTCTATCTATATATATATATATATATATATAGTTTGAGAGTCCTATAATTTAGAAGGATATGGGTTATGCAATATATCTATCCTATTGACCCATAAAGTCCCCATCTCATCCCCTCTATTATCATTATAACCAAGGCCCCCTTAAGATTAGCATCTAGAGTGAAATAATATATTTGCTTGTTTTCATTTGTGACAATTAAGTACTTGAAAGCTGATGTTTTTATGCAGTGAAATTTTTGAGCGAGAATAAAACTTGCGGTCATTAGTTTATGTGACAATTTGAGAACTGGTCCTTTTTTCATTTTTTTGTATTGGCTATTTGAGCAAATTAGTTTTTGTGCTTCTTGTATACGTGTTTCCTCCCTCCGTAGCCTTTGTTATTCGATTATTACAATGTAGTTGTTGAATGGTGTTTGTAGGATTCATTTGAGAACCATCGGGGTCAAGATTATGGCGGTGGAGATCTTGAAATGGGAACACAACAAAACGTGAATTCTGGAGATTCAGGCTTGGATAATTTTTTCAAGAAGGTGGCTTGTCTAGTATTCGCTTTTTCATTCTACATGTCCAATGTCATCAACTTAACTCATAAAGCTAATTGGATATTTCTTTTGATAGGTTCAAGACATCGAGAAACAATATGAGAAGCTGAATAAACTATTAAAAAAACTACAGGTTCCCCTCTGACCCCTCCCTCCTAACTTTCAAAGAAGAGTACTTCTTCTTGAAAAAAAGCAGATCTTTATCATCTTGGTTTGTGTTTGTTTCACGTGCAAGTGATTCAAAAGACCTGATCTTTAAGATACAAAGTTGTAAATATTTGGATGCTAGTCATTTACCCATCCTTTTTCGGTCTTATCTGGATTTCTCCTCATATCAAGTAAACAAGGCCCAAAATCATATCTTTATTTCCTATTGTATGGTATGACCATATGAGATGAAATGAAAATGTTGAATGTTAAATGGCCTAAATGATTAGAATCATTATCTGCATAACAAGTCTACTATGACTTTTGACTCCCTTTAGACTTATATCAACCACTATGAATTTGATACTACAACATTCGCTATCAAATGGAATAGCTTGTTGGATTAATCCTTCTCACCCACGTCCTGGGTCAAAACCGCAAAAATAGTCTCTTCATGTATTAGGCTTCTTGATGCATGATGCCAATCTATCCAAAATCGGCAACTGGCTTGATGGAAGGCGTATGCACTTGGCTGCCTTAGTTGACACATCTTTTATAATGTTAAAGCTTCTCATTGCTTCTTTGTCCAAAAATTTGTATGCAAAACTCATCATGTTCGGTCTTGTTCTTCTCGTGTTATTTGGATTCTTAATAATTTGTTTGTTTCAAAAACAAGTGACAAACTTTTTCATTTCCAGATCATTTCACTAGGATGATTGTAGCTGATGCCATTCTCATGTGTTTATACCATTCCCCGTAGCACCTCAACTTCCACATAGTACTGGGCGTATATCAAATTCTCACCGTCCATTTGAATTTTAGTCAAATTCTCCGATTAGTTGTGTGACAAAGAAATCTAATAGCACCATCATAAGTATAGGACAGCATGGGTTAACTTGATTAAGTTGTCGGCTAAAGCATTTTGGTGGGCTGACACAGACACTAAGAGTCGAAAGATAGGGAAGTGAATGGGATGGTTTACTTTAAAGATGTCAAAGTTGCATTCTTGAAATCTGAACTATAATTTGTATATAGTTTTAGACATGATATGTTTTGAGTTCGAAATGGGAGCTGGAGCACAACATAATTGATAGTTCCAACCCAATTCAACAATGGCGAGAATCAAACAAGCTGCTCGACATGGCAAGCGAATAAATGATGGTAACTTTCTCTCTCTCTTTTGCTTCATGATTTCCTTTCTGTTTTTAGTTTTTGTTCAAATACATTTTGATTTGTGTGTTTTCAGTTTTCGTTCATATGCATTTTGATTTGTGCTGTGGTTGTACATGAATCTGTATTTAGGGTTCTGATAAATTGTAGTATTTTGGAATTCAAGTTCAGGAGCCGGGAATGGTGAGAGGCGCCACCGTTCTAGTCCTCAGACGCTTCATGAGATTAGGCGTATGCAAAAGTGTGTCAGTCTTTTCACTCCAGCTAATCCTTTCAAAAGAAGCAACCAGAATGAGAAGACTGACACACTTTGCATACGCCTAATCTCATGAAGCACCTGAGGACTAGAACGGTGGCACCTCTTACCATTCCCTGCTCTTGAACCTGAATTTCAAAATACTGCATTTTATCAGAACCCTAAATACAGGTTCACATACAACCACACAAATCAGAATGTATTTGAACAAAAATTGAAAACACACAAATCAAAATGTATATGAACAAAAACTGAAAACACACAAATCAAAATGTATTAGAACAAAAACTGTAAACACACAAATCAAAATGTATTTGAACAAAAACTAAAAACAGAAAGGAAATCATGAAGCAAAAGAGATAGAGGAAGTTACCATTATTTATTCGCTTGTCATGCCGAGCAACTTGTTTGATTCATGCCATTGTTGAATTGGGTGGAAACCGTCGATTGCGCTGCACTTCTATTTGAACTCAAAAGCATATATTTCCCCTTAGTTCACTGAGGACTTACGTTGTGGTCCCTAATCGTGGGAGAAAAGAAAAGAAAGGGAGGGAAAGGAAAATATTTTTTCATTTGTATAATTGAAGGGGAAGGAAAAGAAAATAAATTTTTTGTGTCCAACTTCTGGACGGTTCGCAAAAAGAGTTGGGTACAAGGGTGAAATTGAGTATAACTTACATCCTCAAACCAATGGTCAAAGTGAAAGGACCATTCAAACTCTCGAGGATATGCTCGGATCATGTGTCATAGATTTGGCGGAAATTGAGATTCTCACCTACCTCTCAACTTCAAATATTATAAAGATTACTTCTTCTTGAGAGAATTAGGTTAGTTAGAACTTTGTAATGAAGACTTTCGAATAGAATAGATACTACCCAACTTGGAAAAGAAAAAAACTCATATCAAGTTTGAGTTAGAAACGGCCTAGGGTTTCCTATGACTTTTGAATCCCTATAGACTTATACTGATCACTATGAATTTGATACTACGACGTTTGCTTTCAGATGGAATAGCTTGTTGTATCAATCCTTCTCATCCATATACTGGGTCCAAACTGGAAGAATAGTCTCTTAATGTATTAGGCTTCTTGATGCATGATGCCAATCTATCCAAAATCGCCATCTGGCTTGATGGAAGGTTTATGCACTTGGGTGCCTCAGTTGATGCACCTTTTATAATGTTAAAGCTTCTCATTGCTTCTTTGTCTTATGCAAAACTCATCATGTCCAGTCTTGTTCTTCTTGAGTTATTTGGATTCTTAATAATTTGTGTTTAAAAAACAACTGACATACTTTTTCAATTCCAGATCATTTCATTAGGATGACCGTAGCTGATGCCATTCATACGTGTTTATACCATTACCACTTAGCACCTCAACTTCTCCACTCTATCGGGCATACATCATATCTCACCTTCCATTTGAATTTTATGCAAATTCTTCAATTAGTTGTGTGACAGAAATTTATAGCAGCATTGTAAGTTTAGGATGATAATGGTTAACTTAATTAAGTAGTCGGCAAAAGCACTTTGGTGGGATGACACAGACACCGAGAGTCGAAAGACAGGGGAGTGAATGGGATGGTTTACCTTAAAGATGTCAAAGCTGCATTCTTGAAATCTGAACTATAACTTGTATATAGTTTTATGTTCCAATTCCTCTTTTTCCTGGTTGTTCACATGACTCTACATTTTGTTGTCACGTCAAACATGCAGTTATTCTTGTGTCTTTCAAGTTCATACCATGAAAATTTCACTTTTTCATACTACCAAATTTTATGACAGTACATGAACTGATGTTATCTTCTGCAATAGGTCAAATCATCGTTGAACAAATATTAGTTTTTGAGCTATCTTTGTTTCAGAAAATGTTATCACAGTAATTATGTTAATGGAGTTCTACACAGGATGCTCATGAGGAATCGAGGGCTGTAACCAAGGCTGCTGCTATGAAAGGTAATCTTCAATTCTTTCTCTTCTTCTGGTTCAGTTCTTGTTTCTATTTATGTCATATGACTGTTAGCATGCAAAGAGTGAAATAAGGCCTTATGGGCTTCATACCGGGAACTTTGTATACCCTCTCCCCCAGAAAACAGGGGTCAGCTTTAAAATCTAGAAGGAATATAAAGATAACTTTTTTCTGGAACATTACAAACTAACCAAAAGCACGATTTACATGATCTCAAAGAAGACAGGATGGTCTAGACACGTCACATTTATCTTTATGTTAAATTTTGAAGTAGACCTCTGTTTCGGGTAAAAGGAAAATGTGGTGGACTCTTTTCTTGGTACGAAGGGAGCATATGGCGTAATATACATACACATAAATGAGTGGAAATACTGAATGGGGTTGGACATATCACAGCATGACAAGCTGCTTATTGTGCCACTCACCTGATTTATATAAATAAAATTTAAACCTTTTCAATTATTGATATAAAAGTTATAAATTAAAGGATTGTTAATTTGCAGCAATCAAGCAGCGCATGGAGAAAGATGTGGATGAAGTTGGAAAGATTGCTCGGTTTATTAAATCAAAAATTGAGGACCTTGACAAGGAGGTTAGATCATAAACAGCTTATTGTGAACTTGTCTCTTCTGTAATTATTTAGTGGCTAATTCCTACTTCTTGTTGTCGTCCAGAACTTGGCCAACAGACAGAAGCCTGGATGTGGAAAAGGGACGGGAGTAGACCGATCAAGAACAGCAACTACACTGTAACTTATTATGTTTGCTAGCCTCTACCTGAGTTTTGATGAATTAAAGGCATTGGCTGAATATTCAAATTTGTCTTTGTTTCATGGTGATCTCCATTTGCAGTTCCTTGAAGAAGAAGTTTAAGGACAAGATGTCTGAATTTCAGGTATCTGTAGTTCTGGATCATCTACTTTTTATTTATTATCTTCTGTCTATATTTTCTTAATTGTCGGCTACAATGGATGCTTTTAGGCGCTAAGAGAAAGTATCCATCAAGAGCATCGTGAGGTGGTCGAGAGGCGTGTCTACACAGGTGACTTGACTTAAACATCAAAAATGATAGTCTGAAACTGGATGTTTTAACAATCCCATATCTAATCTGACTTATGTTTTTTTTTTTGACTATTTTCAGTGACAGGAACCAGGGCCGACGAAGAGGTGAGACCTTTTTTATATTTTCGAGCCATCTTGATTATAGCATACACAAGCACATATTTTGATTATTCCTTGCTTCCTACAGACAATTGATCGACTGATAGAGACAGGGGATAGCGAACAGATTTTTCAGAAAGCAATTCGGGAACAAGGGCGAGGACAGGTTAGTCTTTTTTTCTGGGGTCTTCCCCCACACTTGTCTGTTAAATGAATACGTTTGGATAAATTGTACAAAAGTTCATATAATTTATTAAGGTTACTCCTTCCGACCAAAAGGTACGGACATGGATCACAATAATAGTCTCTTGCAAGAAGCAAGAGAAAAACTTCATAAAAGGACTTTCCTTCCAAACCGTACGGGGTTTCCTTGGGGTGTGGGGAGGCGGCGGGTTCTTTGTGCGTTTGTGCTGGATCATGTCTTATTTGTTACTTCTGGTATTGCTTTAGGTACTTGACACCCTTGCAGAGATCCAAGAACGCCATGATGCAGTAAGAGAAGTAGAAAGGAAGCTTCTTGAGTTGCAACAGGTGCAAATATATAATTACATATATTATAAAACTAGAATGTTAATAAACATTTTATTCTATAACCATGAGGCAATTGATAAGAAATTAGGATTTAGCTAATTGCCCTTCATGGTTCATTTCTGGTGTCATGTTGATCTATCTATGATTTTTCTACCATACTATAGCTGGGTACCTCCATAATGAAAGCATTCACGGCCTAACCCACTATATCACCACTAGAAAGGATCTTTGTTGAAAAGTTTGAAGTACTTTAAATAACACTTTCCCTCCGTTTTTCCTTGATGTGATGTACATTTATCAATCTATTGGGTTATTTGCTTAGTAGCTAAAAAGCGTAGTAAATCATTGCATTTTTATTGGAAGGATAGTATCGCATGCTCCTTTGGTTCCATGGAAAATGCAACATTTGAATGGGCACATAGGCTTAGGAAGGTGGTTGACTATTTTTATAACGTCTAAGTCATTAATAAACAAAATAAGGGAGTCTTATCGGACTCAAAACAACATCGTTGATTTTTTAAAATGTAATGATGATGGGGAATATTTCAACTTTTGGGGACCATTCCAAGGTGGAAATTGCTGCACTTCTCAAGGGACAGAGAGAGCAAGAAGAAACTATTTAGAATGTATAATGAGAAGTCTAGTTAGTGCCGAGGATACTCCACGTTCCAAAAGTTATGATAAATATTTGTAAATGAAAATCCCCCGAGCATAGGCTGCCTTCCAAGTTCCAACCTGAGGCTCAACGGAGCACTGTGGGAAATAATTCTATTCCTACACGTGGCAAATGTTTTGTAATTTGAGAGGCACTGCCGGACTAAGTATGAGCCTATACTTTGAGTCAATTAGTATATCATTATTTGACTTCAATCTTTTGATCACTTGTCTATATAGTTGTCACTTTTTGAAGAAACTAGGACCTACTTGTGTCATGTGTGCTTTTGGTTAATATATTATTGGAACCAGAAAGTATAACTTGTTGGGCAACTTTTGCCCCAACTGAACTGTTTTTAGTATTGTTATTATAGTGGGATGTTGACCCAAACTGCGGGTCAAACGGGTTGGTAGTAAAAAAGTCTGGGATTTACAGGTCAAATGGTTTCCAATAGTAAACGTAAAAGTACTCTCTCTCCTAACTCGGTGTGCTCTTTTGACTTTTAAGAATCAAAGGATGTTTAACTTTCAAAATTGATATGATGTCTTCATGCATAGCATCAAATTACGATGTTTGGTTGGCCATAAAGGCTAGTAGAAATGTTTAGCTATTAACCAAACTGTTTTAAGTATCCTTCAGTAATATGAACAGAGACGTGTTCTTTTTTGTGCATGCAAGTCTGGTTCCAAGGAAAACAGATATCTACTTGCTAGCAAATTATACTAATCCTACATAACCAAATCACTATCATCAGTTCTTTGTAACAAGGACAATGGGTAAATTGGTAATTCTAGATTAGCAAGTGATGCTCGTTTCTTTCACACAAAAGCAAAGATGAGGGAGAGGCCATAGACCTTTTAGATGCAGAGTTTTATATAAGGCTGTTTAAGACATTTGACTTCATTTCAACTACCTTACTAATATAGTTGTTTTACAAATGTTACACGATTCTTTTTCAGACTAACGAAAATTGGATACTTTTTCCAATTGTTGGAACGATGCCATATAAATTATATTTGATTAGTTGATACTGGTTACTATTGTTTACATTTATTCTTAAATATGTATTGTAAATCTTAGTTCTTCCAAAAAAGGAGAAATAGGGGCAAATGATACAGATAACATGCATCATGCCAACTCTTCATTGGGAAGATCATTTAGATATAACACAAACAATACAGATATCTTCTATCTTATAGGGATCAGGGTCCAATTTTTTATGTTCAGATTGTATGCTGGAGTACAGAACCATGTGTGTGTGTATTTAATAGCTTGGACTATATGTTTTCTGCAAATGAATATTGTTTGTGTGTGAAATTGTCACCCCAATTACTACTTTTCGTGCAGATATTTATGGATATGGCTGTATTGGTGGATGCTCAAGGAGAAATGCTAGACAATATAGAGACACAGGTGATTGAAAATCATTTCTACAACTTGTTGCACTGTGTTACTCCGAGAAACTGAACTTCATAAAGAAATTTATGCCAAAAGATCTCATTATGTGTGTATGGGTTTTCAATTCAAAAAACAAGGAAGTACCCTTTTGACTTCTTGAGGTCAAACCCGACACTGTTGAAATGCATAACTGATATCGAGTTTGCAAGTAATTTATCACCAATTTTCTGCTATTTATACTCTTTTAACCAACTCTGATTTAATCATTAGGTTCGTTAAATTTTTCAAAAAAATAGTACTTTAATATTAAAGTTGAAAACGGTGTGTTTGACCTCAAAAATTCATACTGGTTTCTTTCCGTTTTTTTTAAAGTGTATAATAATTTATACAAGTCAAAATACCTGCACACACTTTTCACCAACGGCATGGTACCGAGATTTGAACTCTTGACCTTCTGGGATGTTGGGCTCTATTGTTGGGCCAAAGATCATCTCGATGGTATAAAACTTTTTTTTGGGGGGGGGGGGGGTTAAAAGACTGTTTTGACCCATTACTCCTTTTTAACCGGTTTATGAATGGTATACATAATAGGTGTCGAGTGCAGTAGACCATGTGCAGGATGGGAACAAGGCCCTTTACAAGGCGAAGAGTCTACAAAAGAACTCACGGAAGTGGATGTGCATCGCCATCATAATTTTACTCATAATTATAGCAGTCGTCGTTGTTGGTGTGCTCAAGCCATGGAAAAGCGGCAAGGGTGCTTAGCGTCTTTTCACTCGTGGTGAACGTAAACATCCCATCGGAATCAGACTTCCTAAATATTACTTCGGGGTTAAGGTTGAAGTAATATTCGTATTATATGCCAAAGACTATGTTGTTTCCTTTTGAGTGTGAGGTTTTATTGGGGAGTACAAATTTGTGCTCTATTGCCAAACATTATTATATCCTTTATTCTTGTGTAAATTGAGAGCATTTATTCCATTCTTCACTTTCTTTAACTTGTTTCTATGTGCCATTGAATGACTATTTGCTATTTTGGAATTTGTTAGGTAATTTGTAACATATTTGAATGATTAAGATTTCATCACCTTAAAATCTTATTTAAGGTTATATATTTACATATCTGGAAAAAGAGACCGAAATCATATGCCCCTTTCTTTGCTGCCAACCTTACCATGGATTGCGATCGATTTGGTCCAAGCATGTGGTTTGGATCAAATCTAAATTCAATTCTCCTATCCAAATCAGTTAAAGACGCATAGGGGGTTGAGTTCCGGTGAGAAGGAGAGTTAAGATGAGAAACGTACGAAGTCATCTCCACCTTTAGATATACATTAAGATGAGATGCACCAGATTGATCAATCCTTGTATCAAGCTCAAATTATGAATGAGTTTGAGATTAAAGGTGATTAAAAGTTCATATCTCTTCTTACATTTCTCACATTAACTCTCCATCTCACATGATCCTTCGCCTACGTGTATTTACCTTAAACTTTCTTTCTCACACGATCATTGCATATATATATATATATATATATATATATATATGTGTGTGTGTGTGTGTGTTTATTCTTTTATCTTCTCATACCCTTCATACAATTCATGCAGAATGTTCATTGGCAAACATGTCTAGTTGGATATGTTTAACTGAGTACGCAGTTCTGGGGTGTATTAGTCGCAACCCTGAAGACAGTGATAACTCACGTCTTAATCATTGTTTTACTGCATTTTTCTCCTATTGTCTTATAGTCTAACATTTTAGGGAAAAGTTCAAAAAAACCCAATGGACTTTACTGTTTGGAACGATTAAACCCTTGGACAATTTTTTGGAACAAATAAACCCTTGGACTTTCTAAAAT